TATGCATTCTAGATCGAGTGCGCTTTTGCTTCTTCTTCTCGTTTTTAACGCGTAGTTCCTTATTTTCCTTCGCTAGTAGAAGAGAACTATGCATTGTAAGGCGGAAGCCTTTCGCAAGCTGGCTTAGTGCACGATCTGATGGGCTTGGTGGACTTGGTGGACTTAAAGATCTTGTTCGAAGTAAAGCTTTGATTGATGAATCCTGTCGACGTAGCTTTTTCTCAGACCCGAATTTCAAATGGGCACATTGTCGCAACTATCCAGACCCGGCCGAGCTGGAATCCGTGAAATGTGCATCCTAAATTATCGTTCGTGATTATGGATAACCAAAATAATGATTGTCCCCACTGAGATCTTCATTGAAGCGCAAAATGAGACCGAAAAAAATTAACATGATTCCCACGATTATACACCAAAGGTTATCGTTATTGAAAATGTCTGATAACATTTCAGCGCCGTTCTATATACCCCAGGCTGAGCTTTCAGTCTTCCATGAAATCAACATTAGCACTGTATCAGCTGCGTGTTTTATGATTGAATGGTGGGTCTACATACCGTCTGTCACTCTTGCCTACTATTGCCTTGAAAGGGATGTGTGCCGAATACCACTTCAGAAAGGGCTTTTAAAGGTAGAGAGAGTTTCTAGATAGCGGGTGGGGACGGAGAACACAGTTTTTACGAGACTGAGGATGATGAAATTAAAGAAACAGTTCATTGCAAAATCAATTATTATATTGAATCAAACAAGCAAACAAATGGCCAAAACCTCGGGTGAGATGAAGCGCTCTATTGTGGTAGAATACGAGACATGAGAACGAGGTTCTATAAAGAACATGAATGTCTAAATATGGGTAAAGCGGCTAAATAACAAGATCTTAATAAATATCGTAGCAATACCCAGGCAGGCATTATACAGATGCCCCAGAAAGTACACATTATGTGTACTGGAAGTGTGCGCCTACGGCTGATACAAGTGTGTATTAGCGTGCTCTAGGGGCCCGAATTCTCTTTTTAGGCGCCTGAATCTCAGTCACCAAAGGTCTAGTTATCCCTGTTGCCTTCATCCCAGGTTTTACCAAGATGGCTAAATTTATCCATCGACTCTTGAACGGTAAAGGGAGACGCATAACTATATATATAAAACGACTATATCTTGTTCGGAATAAATAAAAATCCCGTGGTGGAATCCGGACGACGAGTTGATGGAAGAATGGTAAGTCGGGGAAACCTTGGCCAAATGCCACGAGCAGTTTCTCAGCTGCCGAGGTTGTCAATCAAGGCCATTGGGGTTAGGTAGTTGGAATCGTGGTCGTACAGTATCGACTGGAAATATAATCTCTCCATAGACCAGAAGGGGGTGGGGTTAGAACACGTAGATAGCTTGCAAAGGAAAGCGGAAAGGTCAAACGGTATTCGAGATAGTTGAAGGTGAATTTCCATTATTGTTTTTGGCGCTATCCATCCATCTACTGCAATCACATTAATATTCGGGATAACATGGGAATGATGATTCCTTGAATTCTTGAGAATAATTCTCTTTTCACAGTCATTGAGCCGCCAGAATTTCAGCGATTATTCAAGGACCTATCAGGGACTCCCTTCCTATTTACCATTCGTCATACGCTTTGACAGCGTCTTTGGCAAGATTTAGACTTGCAATTTGCTAAATTGATAGATATACATAGATATACGAGGTGATAGAAACTCAACTTAAATTCTAGCCAACTCCATTGGCCATAGTACTACAATTGTGATATTACATGTATCTAGGCTGATCGATAAAGGTTTCTCTGGACGCGTCTTTCCATCGAAGAGCTCTACTCATGGTGTCCCCTTCTGTCTTCTGAAGGCCAAATGGATCTTGGTATTTTGTGCTAGACCTTTCACTCAACAAAAAACCGGTTCCGTGCGAAGAAAGCAGTACCATGTAGACTGGGACAACTGGTATTATCTTCTAATATAAGCCTATCTGGACCGCAAAAGGAATCCTGGACCACGATGGAATTATAAAGGCGGATTTGAAGCCCTTACAAGATATCCGTTGAATCTATGATAAGTTGAGGATCTTGTTGAAAAAGCCAATCTCCGTAATCGATTGTAAAATAGCCCTCTACGTCGTGTAGTTATGCCAGAGTGTGCCCATCGCTACTTGATGCTTTACGTTATCTTTATCTGCAAAATATTTCTATTGTTCTTGCTAAAAATGTTGGTGCTGCATAGATAATTAATTGGCAGATTAGCGGAAAATCGAAATTATCGCTATTGCTAGTCACTTACCAATTCTATGCGGGTCAGCACTTAATTCCTTATTTATTTTAGAAGTCTTCCAATGTCCATAGGTCCTAAAAAGGTGACACGCGCTAGCTTTTCCAAAATGGTAAAAGCGAAACCCACTGAGTTGCTATTCATAAACAACCAGACCGTTCCAAAGGTCCCAAAATAGATTGATTCCAATTTTAACAATCCTCTCAGTAGTAGCTTGCCCTATAATCAAGTATTTATCCTTCTATGTCCAGTTCTGGGGTCAAACATTATCAAAAATGGGGAAAGTAGCTCGCAAGATTATCAAAATTGTCAATCCCAGAGACAGAAGAATTACATTCAAAAAAAGACACGATGGCGCGAGGAAAAAAATCCACGAGTTAGGAGTACTATGTGACCAAGATACATTTCTTTTTGTCCGAGATCGCGTGACTCAAAGGGTCCGAATGTTTTCTTCATCAAACGAACAGTTTATACCTAACTACAGAACAATTAAGCTAGAGGACCGGAAAGGCCCTAGTGACATGCAGCATTATTATGATAAGACGAAAAGGCGGCCTGTTTCTAAAGTTTCTACGCCACTACCATCAAATGATGGGTCCAATCAAAAGCGCGAAGTATACAAGGCTCTCCTTCAGCAAGGCCTCGCCTGCCACGACATGCTACAGACCGTTTCGTTACTTCGGTTCAAATAGTGTACCGAAAAATCCCTCATTCTAGTCTGATTCTCATTTCTTTAAAATAATAGGACGAAAAGGCAAGCATCGTCATCTCCGATTCAATCACTTGAACCTTTCTAAAGGAGATTCAGTTTGAAAACGGGGCTTGCCTGGTGATGAGAAACAGGCTTGGGACAATTTCCGAACGTCTGAAAATCGGAGTAGTTTTGTGTTGACCCTCAAAGCCTTCAAGGCGTCCTTCGTTACCGCAATTCGTGTATCATTACCTTTTCAGAACCTACTGATGCTATATATGGCTGCGCCCTCCATCAATACCTTGGCAAAGCCTTACTATCAAGACAGAGTCTATGAATTCTATTCTCGATCTACGGCTTCTAGCATCGAACATACCGCTGGATGTGCTGAAATCTTTACTACGACAAATTGACGCGCTCGAGGCTTTGCACTATGACTTCTCAGCCATTGAATGAAGTGACCTTCCAGTTATTAAATTAGCTGTGGATAAAAATAAGCGCACTTTGAAAGCTATCCAGGTCATAGCTCAATTTGGCCAGTGAAAAGAACTTGGCCGTAAATTATATAATCAGCAGCTATATTCTTTTCATGGCTATCCTGTTCTCACGCATCTTGAGATGGGGTAAGTTGTAAAACATGTGCATGCTACCCTCACGCAGTAAATGGCGATGGCTATGTCAACATGGGAATGTGAGCAAATCATCATCAATTATGTTATAGTAGCATGGTTGCTGATTTTCTTTCCAATAATGTCGACAAATCGTATTGAAGGTAGTATAGAGCGCATCTACGGATGTAAACCCCGAGATTTTCTTCCTATCGTCAGTAGTTTTGTACATCTATGATTGAGCTTCAAATATCATGCATATGACCCCTGTATAACGTCCTAGAGAGAGGGAATGTGGCAGAAAACTTTTAGTTCTAGGAAACATTGTGCAGTGCTTAACTTAGAGTGCTGTAGCTGATGTTGCCAAGCCTATTTATAGTCAATGGCGCGCTAGTATCAGGGCGAAAGCTTTGATAGAGGTTTGATGGAGTATAAGTACGCGGGGCCGATGAAGATAATTATCGTTAACATTTCTTATACTAGAGATGCCTACTTAGACTAAGGAGCCTATCATAGCATATAGAAAAACATGTGAAGCAGACTATGCTGATTCTAAATAAGGGCGTATCTCTCCACTATGCCACTCCACAAGCACCAAGCACTACAACACAATGGCAAGCCCGGTGGTCCAGAACAAAACCGACCGTCAATACTGGAGCGCACGCCATTCGATAAATAATTCTCGCTATAAGGCTGCGGAGGCATGTATCAAATTCACAGCGGGCTGCGAACACGCGCATAAATAGGCTGAACGCTTTATCGAGCCTCACATTCTGTAGCTAAGAGGGCCACAATAGACAAACAGGGTCCCGTAACGACCCCCACCCGTAGAATAAAAATCACGAGCCAGATGCTGCAGAAGGCTGGCACGGCGGCATGCAAATTCCCCGTATGCACCATAATTATATGCCGGGTCCAAGTTTGCTAATGATCACCCGTCAGATCTACTTCGCCCGCGATTACTCGCAAGGCTGTGTCAGTCAAAAGGCCTTGTTAGTGGGCACAAGCTGGCAATATTCCGTCAGGTCTATTCACTACGTAAATAGCACACACATGATTCGAACGTTGTAATCGCAATTAGGTTGTCACACCCTTTCTCCTCCCGCCTACCGCCTGCTAGGACAAGCAGCGACGAACGATTTGAATCGACCCCTAAGACAAAGACACTGGTCCCAGTGAGCTACCAACCCGCAATATTGACCGATGTTAAAATATAAACTCGAACCCATCGTTCGAAATAGGCATGTATACTTTACACCTATTCAACCTGTAACATTCAAATCCTGTCTTCTATACAACCGTAAGAAAACCAAGTCACAAAAATGTAAGACAAAAAAGCACGTCAAAGTAAGTCATCAACATCATTTGCAGCCCTCGGGTGTAACTAAACAAAACAAAGACGTTCAAAGAATACTATCATTCCAATATGCATAGTGCTAGGTGCGTCCCGAGTAGTACGAGGTGCCCATTGGGAAATACGGGTGCATGCAGGCCTGTTTTGCAGAAAGACGGAGGGCGGGGTCATACTCGAGTAGACCTCCGCAAAGCCTAACCCGCAGCCCACCGTGGGTTGGGCCGTGGGCCCCCATAAAAACCCCGCAGGCGCTGACAAAGCGGACTCTGTAATCGTTGTATTACGACCTTCCACCGATCGTATGAAGTTCAAATTTCAAATTTAGAATAAAGGAAATACTATGAGTGCGTATGTTACTTTTGAACAAAATCCGATTATTGGGGGTCAAGATATAACCGAAGAGGTGAATGTTGATATTTTGATGTTGGATATATATCTAGGTTTTATAGGGAAGCACCACCACTTTCTGGTGAACCTCCGTAATTTTGAAAATCTTTTATTTAACGCGTTTTCTTGTGTCTTTTTACGTGATATAGAGAGAATGCTAGTAATTGATTCTAAATCTATAAATTTAATATAATATTACCTTAGGGATCAGGGCAAGAAACGGACGTAAAACAGAGGTAATTTAATTAATACCAAAAGGGGGGTTCAACTTATCTTGGCATCTAAATTCTCGGCATGTTTGTATTGTTTGGGGCCCATTTGGGCCCCCATTAACCCACAGTGGGCTCGAGGTATAAGCCCATAGCCCATCGATGGGCCTAAGGACCGGGCCCAAAACCTAACCTATTTGCGGGTTGGGTTGGGCTGGGCTTTGGGCTTTATGGGCTCTGCGAAGGTCTATACTCGAGCAGAGCCTGCAGCAGCTCCAAACCAGCCGGCTGCAGGTCGGTCACAATGGGTTTACTAATGCGCTTCCACTTGGGGAAGGTGACCTCGTAGGAGGGGAGCGAGGTAACGCCCGGCCACATCTCTTCATCTGGTGTACCGATCACACTGCGACGGACAGAATTAAGTTAATAGAGAAGTGGTAGCAAACAGAAAGCACCTACCGGATGATCTTCAGGATCTCCTCAATCTCCGAGTCCGCTCGGAACAATGGCTTGCCAGTGCACATCTCGGCGAATATAGCGCCTACCGACCACATGTCGACTCCAGTAGAGTACTGGCGGTCTCCCAGAAGAAGCTCGGGGGAACGGTACCACAGCGTAACTACCTAAAATGATGGTGTCAGTAGGCCGACGCTGTGTCTGTCTCCAGATTTTGGTCCCAACCTCGTGGGTGTAGCTGCGCAGTGGGCCCCCAAATGCTCGGGCCAAGCCAAAGTCGGCCAGCTTCAGATTATCCTTATGGTCAATGAGCAAATTCTGCGGCTTCAGATCGCGGTGCAGAACACGATGGTTGTGACAATAACGGACAACCTCTGCCAGCTGCGCCGTTAGCCTTTGTATTATAGCACCACCCAGACCTCGTCTAGCTGTCGTCTTAGGCCCACCCAAAGCAGCCTTGCCTCGTCCACTCTTCATGTAACTCTCCACGTCAATCTCAAGGAACTCCATAACGAGGTAGAGGTTGTGCCCATCAGCATGAACAACGTTTAGCAATTGTACAATGTTGGGGCCGTGCAATTCTTTAAGGAGGGATATTTCGCGGATGGCAGTGCTAGGAACACCCTCATTCTCACCTCCTAGATAGATCTTCTTTAGAGCAACGACACGGTTTTGATGGCCAAGCTCGCGGGCCTTGTAGACCACGCCGTAGGCACCTAGGAAGAGAGTTGGAATGGTGTCCTTGTAAGCCGTATAAATAACCAGTACCTTCACCGATTTTGCCGATTGTCTCGTATTTCTCCATTCTCTAGGCAAAGCTGGATACCCTAGCGATGTTGATCGTGTTGGCTGAGCGTCAGGTGCAGAGACGATGGGGTTGAGGCAGGTTCGAACGGGCAGGGGGATGATGGACAGACAAGGAAAGCCACGAGGGAAAAGACGCCAAATAGGAAAGCGCTTAATCCAAGGTAATTTGCCGGATTTAATAGTGGCAAATAAGTATACCTCGACTATGGAGGGCGCAAAGATAAACAACCTTCCGTGTTGAACAAAGCTTCACTCATTGTGCCCGAGAGACAGGGCCCTCGCCCTAGTATTGGACAAAGATTGTCAACCGTTGGGAGGTACAGTGATAAGTCAAGGAAAGGCCTCGCACGAGCCTCAAAGGAAGGATTTCAAGGCGAACATATTGAAATACCTTCACCTTGGGCCCCCCTATCTGGGGCTTAATTGAACCGCCGGGGCATGATTCACGGCATGATTCACGTGCTACATAATTCTGGCGGTGACGGAGCTTTATATTTTATCGAAATGACCCGAGCGCTTCCATTTTTTTTTGCCGAGACTACGGACCGCTCCTCCTACGTCCAATGCCTTGTTGGGGGAGATCTTGACTCTTCGCGGTCCAGATGACCTTGCCTCACCAAGAGCGAGTACCGACTTCCCACGATTAGCTATGCAACGCAATCAATGACTCCCAATCCTACATTTTTAATCATATGTTTTTTGAAATACTTGGTTCACTTCCGGCCCCGGGCCGTTGTCAGCTCCAGAATCCAATCTATGTTTGCAGCACGCTCGTCTTCATGGCTAGACTAATCTATTCATACCATTGGAAAAACCTCACAACCAGAATTTCAAGGAGATAGTAGCATATAAGCCAAAGTCTTAATTGAAAGCAGAATGGAAATCACGATAAATATTCGGTCTACTTCCCTATCAGTAGAGCGAGTGTTAGGAGAAGACACGGATAGCATAGGCGCAACCCTTGTTGTCCTATCAGGCCTGGTGTAATTTGGTGTGCAGTTTGCGTGCTCAGATATGCTACAGTAGCGACCGCTTTCGCCTTCCATGTCGGCCAACACAGAGGAGCGATTTCAAACACTAATCACAAGCTGAGCTAAGCCGTATATGGTTAACCTCGTATTGAAGGATCTGTCACAAGGCCGAATTCAATAATACCAACAAAGAAAAACTAAGTAATGTAACCGCCCATTTATTGTTAAAGATGTGACACGCGTCTATTGGAAAGCCGGCTCAAGTGCATTTACATTTGGCACTCCGCTCAGATATGCCGGTCTTACAGCTGATGGGCAATTGTTTAAGATGTAATGAAGCTCTTGCGTAAGATTTTGGGCTACAAGGGATCATCGGAATTTTATACTGCAGAGATAAGAAGAGAAGATGTAGGACAATAACGGGCTTCGAATATCATTGGCAATAGATGGACTCAGCTGGCCTTTTTATCGAAATAACGTTGAGATTTGTTCAACATGGATGTGTTCTACTATCTAAAAATGAAATCAGAGCCTCCTACCTATGGGATAACTACCTCCGTCAGATTATGTAAATTTAATGGTGTCTACTGTCTCATAAGACCCACACAGAGACCCGTTATGTACCAGCGAGCACTAGCAAGCTATGAAAAATCCCTGGATCCAGGTCATACGAGCACCCTCCGAACCGTCAACAATCTTGGCCTTCTCTACAAGGATCAGGGTAGGCTGGAGGAGGCAGAGAATATGCACCAGCGAGCACTGACAGGCTGTCAGAAGGCTCTCGCTCCAGATCACGATCGGACTCGGCGACTTGCAGAGACGTGGAATTTATTGAGCGTTACGGACAGAAAATAGCCCTCTATATTCCGTAAAGACATAATGACTTCATTCTGATATATTCTTATCGGTGAGCTCAATATACACACAATGCTCATGTTTTGCAACTTTCGCTTTTTTAAGATGGAGTAAGTCTGTCGCTAGAAGTGGAGATGAAAATTGTTGACAGATTGCATATTTGCTGGGCTTGTATCGAACCCCTCTACCCAAACCAGGATTCTAGTTTTAGACCGTTGTATCTTCCATACTGGTATTTTCAACTTAATGACTGGTCAGTTGCGAAACGAATAATCCACGCAATATTCATATCTGGACTAGCGTATCACTTGATTAGGGTTTGAAATGCAATCTGTATGTTTCCGCCATGGAAGGCGATAACGGTCGCTACTGTAAATGCTCTTTTTTTGCCTCCGCGAAATTGTAATGTTGCTCTTCTTTCATCGATAAGTACCATTGGATATGCTCTGGCTAACCTGTGCAAGCACTATGTTCTTTAGTGCTTCCTTAGAGAGCAGAAGAGAATAGAATGACTATTTATTTCTGAGCTCCTGGCAACCAAATCTGGAGGCCGTATGTGGTGTCCAGATATACATAACGTGAGAAATGGCTGTAAGGATTCTGACAGCAGGCACTATGGAGTACATGGGTATCGATTCTTTGCTCAAATAATCGAAAATGGGGTCGGCTCCAGCGTAAATCATATCCAGAAGACTTGTCTCTTTGCATGACATGGGTTTCAATACTAAACTAGTAACCTGCCGGGAGGTTTCTCGAATGTTCCAACGAGAACTCCTGTAGCATGGCTGACCCTTGAGAAGTCGCAAGGCGGGGCGACGGTGAGATTTGGCAAAACTCCATAGTGTAGAACTGGCGGAGGAAATCCGGAAATGATATCCTTTTTGTGGCTGGGGTCGAAGGCGTTGAAGGACTTGAGTTGGATGGTGATACGGCCGATGAATTCGACTCATGGCGTAAGGGATGTCCGATCTTCCGACCCTGGCTGGCAAAGAGACTAAGGTTAAGACTCATGGTTTTTGTTTGCGCCACGAACAGGTCTTTGGTGAGAGGTTAGATGAATTCACAGAATACTCCGTCTGGACAGAACTTATATTCGACGTGTGCTCGACGGGTATCACCAAATCTTTGGCAAACCCCTTCCACGGATATATTGCGCAATCATTGTGTCTTTAGTTTTAGTGAGATTCTTAACCACCATGCCAAAGTACACAATTTTTGTGGCGTCTTCGCTTCATCGTCAAACGTCAGATCAGACTCCAATTCTACTATAGGATTGGCACGAGCATATGACGAAAAAGCAGAATCTTCATAATACAGTCCAGATCTCGCGCCGTCTTTGTAAAGGCTCTTTGACCGCGAGGGCATTTCCTATGTGTACGACCCTTGGATTGTTTGAAAGACGCCCATGTCGTGTTATTGACACCAGTCTGTAGACAGTATAATTACATAGACAATCTTGAGCTTAATAGGCAAACAAGCCAGAATACAAGACCTATGCCTGGTGTAAGCAGAGCAGTATCCATTGTGTGAGCTAATAGCCAAGATGACGTAGAAACTTCGGGTATTGTATATATGTATGTATCGCTATTATTTTCCTTTAATTAGCGGCCAAGTTCCGTTCAGGTTATGCAAGCTCAGAGTTGAAAGGCTGGAGTACAGTACGTACTGAAGTAGTTTTCGAAATCGGTTATACCTTCTCTCGACTTGATTGCAGGGAAACATACCCTGTGGACGCTTATAGATCACCATTCTATAACAAAATGCAGCAATGCCTCATGTCAGATATTCGTACTGTAAAATACAAATCCTATTACAGAAAGCGGTCCGAGCAGCCGGGAACGAGTGTGGAGGTATAATCGATTTTGAAAAATACTGTAGATATCGGCCCGGCGGTTGTCCTTCTTAGGGGAGCATTACGGTCTTCTACCGAATACTCAGTGGGGAGGGCGCCCGGCACGAACAACAGAGCAAGCCCTCCAGATGTTTGCCAAGGCAATCGACCGGGCATGGTACAGGCAGAAGGTCGTCACAATGGTGGCCTTTGACCTGAAGGGAGCTTTCAAGGGTGAATAAGACAAGCCTGGATATTTGCCTCCAGTCCAAAGGCATCCCCTAGGTGGCCCAAACATGGATTGGACGACATGAAGCCCACGAAAATGGGTTGCAAGAGCATAAATATGGCATTCCAATTCTTTAACTATTCCGGTTCCGATTAGTCACAGGCACTCTGAAGAACTAAAGATTAAAAGTCATTCGTAAGCCTTGCCGCTTCCATCTCTAATTCTTTGGTCCACTCTTAGTCCTATGCTTGACAACAGCTTCGGATGTGACTGTGCACTACCTGAGTCGTAGGTGCAATCAGGCCACATTTATCTAAATATTCAAGGTTTCTGGTCTCGTGAATATCGTGAGGAAAATTTCAATCTATCACAGTCAATCTAAACGCTTTGCAGAATCTCAAGTCTAATACTGTATAATTATGGTTTGTGAATGGTTTTCATAATTTCGACGTGGAAGGCAACAAAAATCGTCGCTATATGTACCTAAATTTATATGCTGTGTACCAACTCGCTGTCTCTCTCTTTTCAAGCAGTTCTCGCGGCAAGAGGGAAACGTGTCGGAAGGGCGACTGAATAGTAATTGGATCAGTCCCGTCAAGCGAGTATGACGGACTAAATTAATATGAAAGCCGGAATCGCTCTCTGAACGAATATTCTGGCACTGCAATGCAGCTATATGTTTTCGACAACATATACGAGTCGGTCACGGTTACTTGCGATTGGTGGGAAAAGAAACGCAAAAAGGTGCCTATATCTAATGAAATTGGCTCTCATAGCCCATGACATGGTTGAGAATTAGCATTTAGTCTTGATGGAGTCCTCAGACGAACAATGGACGTTGTTTCACAATCAAATCAAGCTCCAGCTCCTGGCCCTGAAGGAAATGATGGAAATTTGAAAAATTGGTACTAAGATAAATTTGGGTCTACAGCATCAGCGCCCGTGGAAACATGCATGCAATAACTAAAGCCGATCGAGGTAGGTGTAAGTGGCTCCTCTTTATAGTGACCTTCTAGTTACTGAGTCTAGTGTATCGATTTGTTGATTGATATTGTGTTTATCCTGAAGGTGGGCAAATCTGGAGAGGTCAAAGCTAGAAGAGAAGGATTCTAGCTCATGAGAGATACTTCGGCTGGCAGTTCATAAATTGGCTGGAAGTACGACAGCCTTGACGAGACGCAATGCGGTCGTGAGCAGACTCCATCTCGAGGAAACTTGAACGGCTCTATCGCATGCCATCGGCAGTAGGACCGCGACCGACATTTCCCACAATTCGTGCACCGTAAGCAATCTAGCCAATGGTCCTGGTATCTTGAATACGGGGGAGGTTGTATTGATTCTTCTATTGGTATGTTTTCTGAAGGATCCAAATTCGTGGTTTGAGGTGTTGTTGCGTGGCACGACCAACTGAAGAATAAGAAGCTGGACATTGTGAAGCAATACCGAGCAGACGCACCTATCCGCGAGCCGTACCCATAACCCGATGATGAAACGCATTCGTAGATTTCAAGCTGCATGCCTCGCGGGAGTGCGATCCCGGTCATTAATCATGCCTTTTTATAGGCAGGAAAAGCGGCTTACAACGACCTTAGACGCATAACCCGTAAGCTATAATGACCGCCAGTGCTGTTTGTTATCAAGAGGTCATAGGCACCTAAATGCGCCTAAAATATTGTAAAATGGGACATAATCCCGCAGTATCCCCTCAACCATTTCAAATGTTTGCTCGCGATAATGAAAGACCGTATGTTGCAGGTCCTATGTCAAACATTACGTTATCTAGCTGAATACCATGGGGACCCAAATCATTCCAACTGCCCCCCCCCACCACCTGAGACAGTCCTCGCGAAACCCAACCCGAGCGTGCCGGCATCGTGCAGGCCACATCCGATCTGGTCGTCTACAGTAGCGCCCGATATCGCTTTCCATGTCGGGAACTGAGAGATGCTCTTTCAAACCCTAGTCATATGATACGGGGAAAATAACAGGTTTTGTACCTGTCCGTAAGAATACCACTTGTCTTTTGTGAATTGTAAGACAGATAAAATGGCCTAAAATTAGAAGCCTTGAACGTCTAGGTTCCACGCAAACGTAACAAATAACGCAAACAAAACAACGGTTGAACTGGCAAAGTGTCAACTTCTCTCTTCTGCGTCTTGCAGTTGCTTTACTACAGAGAGCTTGATGCTTCCTGGGGGAGGCAAATTTCAACAATAAGGCTTGCTTCGAGAATCTTTGTCACTGGTCATTATCATGCTGCGTTTACGGATCTATTGGATATCTAGGATTACTGTTTAGCCCTACATCTCTGCTCATGTCGCTAATTTTTCTTAGAGGCACATTTTAGAAACAAGTAGAACTGTATGAGTGGTCTGAGGGGCAAAATGTTTTCGAAAATCGCTGTAGAAAATCTCCACCCGCACAGATGTTCGTGGGGAAATTCATTGCTATGTCAGCCCAAGACGGGCACCATAGAGGTTGACGAGATTGCAGAGCAGATGCCGAGTCTTTCTCTGCAAACCCCCAATGAATCCTCGTCGTATTGTCCAGCTAGCTCTCATCCACCTGTTATGTAATTACTTGGCGCAAATGTCAGTTATATAGCCAGTTTTCGCTACTCTTTCCCATACACGCTCTATTGCTCTGTTGTCCCAACCGTGCCAAGCGCCCAATACACCGTGCCGGGTATTGGTGCGCTCCACCAGATGCAATATTTTCACCATTCCACCAACTTACCACTTATTTTACTACCATACCACGATATCAGAAAAAGCCGAAAAAATTGAGGATCGAATCCAAGATGCAGTCAAAGCCTACCATGAAGCTATTAAGCACAATATAGCTAAATTGGCGGGGAATTTTGAAGTTCCACCCTACCGGCTTCGGCACCGAATTCATGGACGCCAGTCTAATGCATTGTAAGGATTTTTGAGGTTTCGACGTCCGATTTGCTAATATTGGAGGCCTCAATATTATATAGGTGTTCACCATAAAATAATAGCTATTTTTTGCTTTTCTCATATAATTTGGAGCGTTTGTAAAAAGGGGCTCCTCTAGTAAACTAAAACGAACATGCTCTGAGGGTCCCAATTTTGATAGGCATAACTTGTGCTAAAAATAGGACGTTCTAAACCCGGACCCGCTAGATTGACCGGCTAGGTTTTATAACACGGGATTCCCACATATCTGCGTATACAAACCAAGCATTGTTGAGCTATGCGGTACTTTACGAATTTAGGCTGGGGAAGCCTTGCCAGCCTCGCTAGTATGGCCGGTTCTGCCTTCGCGGATGCTACCACAGAGCAGAGTGACACGATTCCGTCCGGATCTGGTGGCGCCCTCGAATTCATCGCAGACAACAAGCTCACCCCCGGTGTATACGGTGCTGCTCTCCTAGCTACAACTGAAACAGACACTGTTGATCTTGGTTATGTGGAGATCCCTCGTTGCGATTCAAATCAGGTTACAGTCATCAGATTTACTTATAATGAGACCATACGATCAGGATTTGCATTTTTAGGCTTCGATGACCACAAATACCCAGTTTATATTCAAAATCCCAGCCAGTCATCGCGAAGAAGCTTGGACTCTCGCTCTGACCAAAACGCTATAACTGCCTACTGTGGTAAAAGGTCTACAAATTCATCCGTCGAGATCTCATCTTCTACAGGTACGTGTCTTTATCAAGTCTTCTCATTAAGTACATGGTTTCGATGCTAATCCGTTTTACAATTAGTTACCTCTATACCTAGCCAAACGAGCTCACCGGTAGATTCAGTGAGCATGGCCGATGTACCCATGACCCAGTCCACCACCCCAGACGCTGTCTCTGAGCCCGTATCTCCAGTAGATTCGAGCTTTACAGTTGATTCTAGCACAGTTATCCCTACAGTAGCTTCATCTGAAGCATTATTCACATCTTCGTCTATCACATCCTCGGTAGTATCGGCCCAAGCGATAACCCCATCGCGTACAAGCAGCCCCAGTACCACGATTCCCTTGGGTTCAACCTCGCAATGCACCTGCACATGCGTTTGTTAGAAGCGTAGCTTTAGTTTCCGGTAAGGCACACCACCTTTCTCTGTCTTGTGGTCTTGGGGTCAATATGCTCGTCTGATACAAACACCAGTCACCAGAGTGTTTTTAAAGATGGAATTCTGGAAGTGGAATCGAATTCTCCCTTTGGTGAATATATTGAATAATACACGTACTGGTTTGAGCATTATGCAATACCGACCGTCTCCCATGTCTGATGCATAAAGGTTCTTTTCGAAAACTGTGTTGAATACATGGTTGAATGCAGGGTATTTTCCCGGAAAAACACGGGACCGACAGATGGCAGATCCCATACAAAAGGGCATATTAAGCATGTCCGTGGAAATTCCCCTGAGAATTCCAATCCTGTCATTTTAGAGATTTCAATATATCTGATTTTGTCTATACATTGGTCAGTTCTAGAAAACTCTGATCGCATGATTCTATTTTGTTCAAATATCAGCTGGCATGTGTCTCGCTACGAATTGAGTCGATCGTAGTTTAAATCTCCATTCTTAGTACATACTATCATAATTGGAAAGCCGTAGCAAACCAAGCCACTATAGGAGTATTCCACTATCCTCCTGTCAACATTTGATAGGTTTGAAGTTTTTAGTCTGGGGTCTTTTCAATATGGCGCCATTTGGATTGTATCGACCATGCAGAACGCAGAATTAGAATCCTTACTGCATAGTAATTTAATATTCAAATGAAGATTCTTCCCAAGGCCTAAGAAAAGCCTTTTCAGGCCCAGGAATACTTAGTTCCTTATTTTCTCGTATATCATATTATTGCGATTATAAGTCAGAATTGAACAAGATACGCTCAATACTAAAGCCAGGAAATTATCTCTGAGAATGTTAGCAGCCTCTTCGCAGTAAAAAACGAATTGTTGAAATTCGGGAAGTCTTCCAGTTGAGGAGCGCGAAGCAGAAATTAAATTTACGCAGGCTCGACAGGCATGGACCAAAGTCAAAAATGCCGAACCTGGGTAACAAAGATCCGGGGTCTTGCCACTCGATTCCGCCTCAAGCATGGCATCGTTGCATTCATCATAGCATTTTCCTGGTATTTTCACAGCCCTGTTTCGCTTCCAATCCTATGCCGACTGGTTCAAATTGAAGATGTCGAACCCGAGCCCGAATTCAATTGGACTTAAGTTGATATACCCGTGGGTGGCGTTATACTTTTCTATCTTCTCAGACGTGATCGGCGGACCCCAGAATTGAGGAGGCCCCAGTTTGGGGTTTCGTATGCACTCTTCTGGGCGACAATAATATGTATCCGCAGGGGGTCCAGATTCGAAGTTGCATTCCACGTCAACTGTTTTCTTTGATGGGTTGCAGAGAAAACGAGGCGGACAACCCCAAGTACAGTCCTTTGGGGGAGGGGATAAGGGCGTGAAAGTTGGATTCGTGATTCTGCTTGGGCAAATCGAAAGCGATAGATCTATATCTGTTAGCTTTTATTCTCGCTCAACGAACAACTGTTGGATTCACCTGATGAAGCGGAAGTTGGAAGAAATGGTGAATTTTTGAGAGAGATTGTATTTGCCATACTGCCGGAAACATCCCACCAGGCGAGAGTTTCATCGAGCGGCGTGAACGGCGTCTCGGTGGAAGTAACAATGATTGATATATTCTTCCATTGATTGACTAGGTAACTGAGCTTGGCTGTTTCACGCCGTCGTTCCCTGGAACAACTCCGTTGCTGTCGCTTCTGCAGAGGCCCCTAGTACCTCCGAAGTTAACAAATTGACTGTATTAGTGTTGATGATACTTTTAATTTCCAATTATGTCACAGTTTCCGCGTCATTTATAGCAATTGCCGTAGAGCCTGGCTTAACATCGGTCTGTTTACTTGAAACAGCCTCAGCGTTGGTGTTTGATCTTACGGAGCTTTCTGGTAGGGACCTCTCGCGTCATATCTAGTACTCGCAAAAGTTTGAATCAGTGTTTCAGTCCCTGCAACCAATGAAGCATGACTCGACGATGCCCAGATGGATTCGGTGATTGTGTCTGTGGCAGTAACAATGCTCCACTCGGTTGCATTGCTGGGGTCGTCAATGGTTATCGTGGTAAGAGAAACTAAAATGCTTGTTTCTGTCTCGAGGTATCACGATTGCTGGCTCTTGTGTCGCTGCTCTTTTGTGTTATAGGGGTTTCAGTGGTTGAGGGGATTAAAGTAGTTCCCGGGAGTACTGTGCCGGACTCAGAAGAACTCAATGGTAAATCAGTGACTGTAATAATGCTCGTCACTGTTGTAATTTTTCAGTCTATCATGGTTGTTGGTTTGTCGATAGTAATTACGTTGGGCGTTACCGATATTACTGTTTCCAAACTTGAAGCAGCTCCAGTGGTGACTGATATGGTTGTGGTTGTTCTTGGTAATATGAAAAACTGATGAAAACTTAAGCCATTTCGAAGGGGTAGAATGAGAGGTCAACTGATCAGCAAAATTAAAAAAACAATGCCTGAAGCGGAAGGTGATTTCGCTACCGACTGTAGTGATAGCTCGTAGTCTCTGAAGGATTCTGGGAGGAGGTCCTCGAAGTTGATTGATTTGTTCGAACATGTGATTGTGCTAAATATATCTGTGTCTTTGAACATCGTTGGTTGATATTGGGGGTTTGGAGATTTTCTTTGTGATGGGGTTGTGCTTTTGGATATCGATATCTCGTACTTCGTACTAATATCCCGCTATGACAGCATGAGGCAGATTATATTGAAGCTCGAAGCTGCAAATCAAATCCCTAGTTGATTCTAACGATTTGTGCCTCGTTTTTTGTTTTTGTTCTTCTTGTTCTGAGTTTGAATTTCTGATTCTCAATCTCCATTTCAATCCTTAGGCGCCGTGATTGTAGCCATGCGTATTTCACCTCGTCTTAGCGTCTAAATTATACCCTCCATGACAAGTACAGGATATGAGCCATCCCCTCAATATCCATGTCTGCATCACGATCCGCTACCGGGGTAGCATATTCTAGCGCGCAAGTCATGGGTAGGGGTAGGCACTTGGGGTTCTGATGGCTTCACGCAGACCTCCGTCCAGCAACTGGTTGAGACTTGGCGATTCGCCTTATAATAAAGCGCCTATAAAGAGGCAGTAAAAAACAGAATTGCGTCTACTATTGCATTGCTTTATGTTATTCAAGGTAGGATTTGCATTCATCCCCAGGGTGCTTCGCATTTCAGTGAAACAAAGGGCTCAGTGGAAGTATTATAAAGTGGGGAGATTCCCATCGCAACTTTCCATATATCCAACTTTCTCAATTCAATTTCCTTATCATTTTTTCCTTCTTCCAAATCTCCGACATGCCTTTTAGACGGTTTAAGGGCAACCTGGACGGAGTGAACGCGTTCGTGGAACGAATGAAGAATGGTGTCCCAAACCATGAAATTTTGGCCGAAGTACTAGACGAGAAGAGCAAGAAATTTTCAGATCATGTCTATGAATTGCCGAAAGGCCAGATGAACAAAGCCAACCTTCCCGATGTCGCCAAATACAAACTGCAACTCCATGCATCCTTCAACAAGCCCGACCTAAATGCCGACTATTCAGGGCATTCCGGTGTCTATCTTGTCGGACGACCGAACAGATGGGCACGTGGCCTGAGTCGGGCGCCAAAACCCTGCCATTGGTCTCTCTACATCTTGGGTCATTTCTATCATCTCAAGTTGGCACCTCAAGGATCGTCGATAGTACTTCGGGACGATCCCCCCAAGGACTGGGAACTTCTAACTGACCCTTTGATTGCATACCATATTGGGATGACGGAGTACCGCAAAGAACACATTTCTCTACTTGCCAAGTGGGTGACCACACAATTGGATCACGATACTCTCTCTACGGCAGCCTATGAGCAGTTCGTCTTTGGGCTTGCGATTCGTATTCTGCGTGGTCCCAGCAACACCTCAGCCTTCATCGGTAATTTCTGGCAAATTATGGAGCATGATATTGGATGCAGTCAACAGCGCCAGCCGGCTCCTAGTGGATTCCTCACTGGGGTGCGACTTTCGGATCCTGACGAGGATATTAGCACTCGGCTGAAGAGATGGTATTTGACTTACCGGATTGAGACTGATGCACGAGGACTTGATCTCTGTTGGAAAAGAGGGAGATTAGGACAAATCAGCTGGAATACCCACGAGTACCATCCTTTCATTAGGTCTTTTGCTGTAGGGCCATCGGCTATCTCGAAGGCTCTTACGAAGGTGGGACAGCGCACTCCGGTATTGTCCAAGGCCGTCCCTCCAGTATATCAAAATGACATGCCTATGGTGGCAGTCTACCGTCGGCGAAAAGGTTAGCAAAACGTTCCTCTATTTTGGACTCAAGCTGACTTAACTTCTTCGATATAGGGACCCCGCTCCCCAGGGGCCTTAAGCTTGTGCATTTCTATGCATCATTGTTCTATATCCGCGCTGAATATCCAATGAATGACAGAGGTAATTATAACCCTAGAATTTCTTGCAGACATTATACAACAAGTTTCATATTTGCTGATACTTTATGACCAAAAGACTTCTGGTTCCGGATACATGACCTTCTTAATTCTTCGTCTGTTGAACACACCACATTCAACCGGGGATTTGACGACAAGTTTATTTTCGGAGATTCGGCATTTCCCATGGACGCTGAACCTTTTACTGGACAGATGCTGCAATCGAGTAGTAGCACTATGGTCGAGAAAGAGTTGGACGAATGTGAATCGACCGTGGACACTGAACGATCTGCTGTTGAGATGCCTCAACCGGACTCTGTTATTGAAAAATGGGAGCCGTTGTTTGATACCTTGGCTACTCATTTGTTTGAGCACAAGGGTGTCAAGTGTCAGGTCATGATCGATATGACAGATCAGTTTGAGTCTCCTGTTGAAATCTGAGATTGTCGTTAGTTGCTTCACTGTTTGCTTTCCACTATGGTGCGCTTGGCACATTTATTATATTCCTTCATCTTGTTATTATTGCTAATCTTGCTCTTTGTTGTTTTTTTCCCTTCGTTTTCATACGGGGTGGACACTATTTCCTTTGGCGGGCCCTAAATGGGTTTCATTCAGTTATCCAAGAATGTTGATATACATGCTTCCTTTTGAATTTGGTCAAGAAGGGTCAGTGTTAGTTGACGTTTTTTAAGCGAGCCGCTCTGTGCAAATATCTTACGTCAAGCATATGCTCGTCTCTAGGTGAATTGGGTTAACGAATCCGCTCAACTTCACTTTGACACTTATCATGGGCAATGTTTGATATATGTTGTCTAGTAATTATCATTTGTACGGAGGCACATTGTAAATAAACGCGCTATGCTTTCCAAGGTTCTATACAAGCATTTAGTGGGTAGGTGGCGCAAGTTGGCAAGTATCAAAAGCCTATAGGCGCAAAGTTCGCTTCTAATTATGTACATAAATCATTGCCCCAGAGGGGTTTGGAGGTTAAAGACATTACCTTTTGCCTAAAAAGGCCCTTAAAACTGCGGAGCAGGCAGTGGCACGCGACACTCCAGGGCTCCCCCCAGGTGTGAATAAGTCAAGTCCCAAGCGCGCTCTTTACGTAAATAACTATCAATAGAAGATCACGGGGTGCATTAAACCCCTTCAAGCGATGGAACGGTAGCAAGACCGGTCATAGACTAGAATCTAGTATATTACTTCATCGGAGATAGGAAAAAGGAGAAAATATACTTCGGGGAGCGGACCCCGAAAGCGTGGATTTTGATCATTTCGAAGTTCTATTTAATCAGAAGGGGGTTTATATTCTTGCCGTGGAAAAAGTATACCGCAAACTGAATAGACCGACATATCACGCAGCAAGGAGGGATCAATAAGAAGTGGATCATGAACTCCAAACTAGATGCTGCAGTTGGACTACGTCGCGCACGCGACCTCAGCCCATGTACTCCGTACTCCCTATTAAATACAAGATACATGCAGTTACATGCAACACAAGAGTCTAGGTCTCATGGAATTTTGAAGTCATTTTGTCTCCGATCGGGCTGTCGTGGCCAAAGCTGACGCGCAGAGACGAGCTTGCCTGCAAAGGGAACCCCTCTGATTTGAGACCAAAAACTCATGGACATCTCAGCGTTTACTGCACGTTCCCGAGATCTTCCGTACTCCAGAGATTGTGGCTATTCAAATCTCTTCATTCTGTGGTCTCATCGATTGAATGACACGCTGCTGATCACCATTTCCCCGCAGATTTACCGGCACTAAAGACCAAGGCCTTATATTACATGTATTAAACCAAAGCCGACGGCCAATATGTCCGCAAGATGCTATCACGAAGGACATGCGCTTGGCACTTTTCTTGACTCGTGCCTTAATCGTGCCAAGCCCACCAATACCGGGGAGGTATTGGTGGGCCATATCGGATACCAAATTTGCACCGGATAACAAATGCTTCCATTAAAAATGCATTAAAACCACTATTTACAAATAAACACCATGACTATCTATATTCCAATTTCTACCAATACTATCTCTCGCCGCCATTGAGGCTTCATGCTAAGCCTCAGCTATATCCCGTGCCATTTGGGCCTGCTGTTCAACTTCCAATCCCTTGGCTTGCTTAACTTGCTTCCTCTGGAGCTTCTTAGCATCGCCATCAGCCCTTTTTATTAATTATCGTATTGGCGCATATAGGTGATAGTACTGAATTCCGTTCTCCAAGAATCGATTGCCCATTTCTTGGAATATCTGCTACTGATTTGTGGTATTGAGACTTCTTTAAAATCTCTTTATTAACTCAAGCTGCTGAGATAGATATGCATTTGCATCCATACTCCGTTGAATATGCCTTTTTACCTGCGCAGATGCAGTTTCAACTTGCTCCAGATCTTTAATAAGCTTAGCAGTAAGCCTATTAACCCGGGCGATAGTATCTGGCGGCGAATTGGTGACTGAGCTTAGGATATCTGGGGGGGGGAGAAGGCGTGAAAATCCTAAGGGGAGACCCTTCATTCTCGACTTGTATTTGGCGTAAAGGACCAAGTACGACTTCCAGATCAAAAGGGTAAATACCCCTAGATTTAAATGAAGATCGGTTCTGCTAGTAAAAGCTTGCTTCCGGATATTGCCGATCGTCCTGAAAAACTCCCGGTTTCTAGAAACACTTCCACCCCATATTTGGCGGTACGGAAGTAATGTTTTAACCATTGAAAAGCTTGACCATCTAGCGGTTGACAGAGATGGGTGGTATGGTAGGAAGTAAAATGGGATGATGTTTTTCTCCTTACAAAAGGTAGTAAATTCAAAGGTAGTATGAGAACCATGGTTATCCATCAATAAAAGCCTTGGCCTACTCTCGTCGACGTGAGAAATTGAAGCATGATAAAATGAACAAAGCCATTGAAATGCAGTCTCGTTATTAATCCAGCCATTTAGGGTAGGTTCAATTCGAAAATCGGGGATAGTGATATTTTCATACCACTCTGCCATTTGGGAATTACCCTTAGGTAGAAACCACGGTAGCATAACCCAACCATCGGCGGCGATACATTCAATGCTAGTAATTGATTCATTTTGACCACCGGTAGGATTGGCATATGCTCCGGTAGGAGCAATAACCTTTTGTCGCTTTCCCTGGCCAATTTGGTAGCCAGTTTCATCCCAATTGAAGATCTCATTTTTCTTGAATCCATATTGATCAATAACTTTTTTAGGACTATTAAATCACAGGAGCAATTGGAGTAATTGGCCATAATTCTCGCCATCAGCCCTTGCCTTTTCAGCAGGTTTTGGGCTAATATATCGGATATCCGGGGGTAGGCGATTGATGAATCGGTATACCCAGTTGCGGCCAACCTGCCGATCGGAACCAGCATCTTTTAGAAGCTGGTTTGCAGAGCGCTCAACGAGATCGGTGGTATTTGCAGTATATGAATGGCGTAGTGTTTGGATCCAGGATATCAATGCTTTTTCTTGCATCGGGTTTAATGCCTTACTTCGACTAGCAATAGTGGAATTGGACTTCCGTCCACTAACGCGTCCGCGTAGTCGGTTGTAGGGAATAGCGAATTCTCGCGCCAATTTAGCTAAATTGGGCTTATCGCTTTGGAAGTAGGCTTCTACAGCCTGTAGAGTTCTCATCTCAACATTTTCATTTTGTTCTGACATCGTGTTGTGGTATAAAATAGGTAGAAAATTGATAAAAAATGGAAAATTTGTGATCCGGTGCAAATTTGTTATCCGGCGAGGCCCACCAATACCGGGAGGTGTTGGTGGGCTTGGCACGGTTATTATTTGCCCTGGGCCTATGGGCGATGCCCTCAAACCTACACACTCTTCTTTACACCTTTATTTGCGCCATGCCGCAGTGTGGTCCGTCATCTGCAAGGCGCGCACTGAACTTGAGTTAGATTACTTCGGTACTCTTGTCTACCGACGTCACTCATTTTGTGGATCCGCATAGGCCGCTGCTTGTCTTCCATGCGACGTGAAGGAATGCCGTTTCTTCCGGAAACTGCTAGACCGCGCTTTTGGGATTTGAGAATATAGTCATTCTAAAAAAGTCAACCATCATTTCCACGGCCACTTTTGCTTGTGCCCTATGGATTTCTAGCCATGCACAGATTCTAATTCCCCTCAAAGTCGCATATGTGACACTTTTGATGGCGTTCTTTCTCGTTGCATAGCGAGCCGGATATTTCAGCGCTCCACAGACAGTTATGGTCTCTCGGTGCCTAACGGGTGTATAGGGTGCGCAAAGCAAAAGTGCCAGACATATATCTGCGAAGCGTTTATAGGAAGGCTTTAATATTCATACATACTAGTACTATTACCCTAAGCATAGGGCCAATTGCAAAGGGCTAAACCCCATGAAATTTTCAGATCGATCGGAATTCCAGCCCCCTAGAATGTCCAGTAAAACACACTTGGGACAAGGTAGGTCGAGCGGAGTTTCTCAAGCTTATCCGTAGAGGTTCCGACACGCGAAGCAGACTTTCCTCTAGGTGGCCGCTGCAAGCGCCTCTCGCGTGTGAAGCATGCGGGCTAAGTGTGCGTGCTCAATGCAGAAATTAAACCCCCGCATCAGCCATTGCAAGCGAGCGAAATTGTGAGTCGCGGCACTTTGGGAGGTCGAAATCGTCCATTGGAAAGAGGCCTGATATTTGACATTCAGCGGGCCGCTTCGATGTAGTGTGGAGCATGCTCTCTCGCAATGAACCATGTATGCCCCGAGATATGGTTTTTGGACGGCAGGTTGCCTTGTATTCCACCACTTTGCCGGCGACATCGAGACCACCACACATCTTGAGGGCTCTACGAGCATGCTGGCTCCCTTCCCTCGTAGCATTGTTCGAAATTGGCACCGTGCCTGTATTTGATGTCGGCGTTCTCGAGTTAAGACCACTGTACTCCGTAGACGGCCAGTTTGATCGATTGTTTAACAAAGTCTCCGGATTGGAGCAGGCCGTGTCTTGCATTTGGATCTCGGGGGGTGAAGCTTCCTCGACTATAGTGGCGATAACAGTCATCGGGGCCTGTGCAGAGCAGATGGTAAGGTGTGTTCAAAAGCTTAGGAAAAGAGGAAGATGGCCTGAGAACAACGGATCCATGCTAAGCGTTTTATACCAAAGGGGAAATGCGCTTGAAATACCCCACCCCATTATGTCAGAAACTTGTCATTTTAATTGATACAGCGACAGGTAGCGTCCACTCAATGCGCGTCACGATTTCCCTTCTTTACGATTCCGCAGGCTGCCACACTAGCCTCCAAGTCAAGTTGACGGGAGAATACGCTGTTTTTTCAAATCGGTCAGTTCAAGTATGGTTCTCCGGTATCCAAGTCGAGATTGAAGATAGTGCATTCGCTCGTCTTGAGGCTTCGCTCTATCTCTTTGGGTCCTCTTGCAATGCAATGGCAAAAGGACCTTGGAGTATATTAAGTCGGTCCTTGCATCCGCTCCACTCGGCTAACAACCCAAAATCAATCACATGAAGCTCCCTCGTCCCCAGCCATAAGCGATACGTAACACACGTTGTTGGCACCGTTGGCCATACTCCTGCTGTTGAGAACGATGATACTATGAGGTATCATTGTCTGATCCATCAGGCCTAAATCGTATCATCAGCATTAAAGTCCCGTGAAGCGCGGTTCGCATGGAAATATTCATAAAGGGGTACTACAATTCATCGGACTCATGAACGACGACACGAAACCTTGTCTTTCAATACTAGGAGAACTATATAGTTTAGTGGGGAAACTTGAACAAGCCCATTCTCGGGCTATATAGAATATGTCAACAACCGTTCACTTGGACCAACAAACCAATATTTCGAAAGCGTATCTTTATATATATATATATTGAAATGAGGATGGCACGATGGTAGGTCTGGCATAGCAGATGGGTCAGTACCAACGAAGAGGATGCACACCAACCACTCCCACGCAGGGGATGGCATAAGAGAGCGGTCTCTAAAGATATAGATCGTACTGGAGCTGATGCTATAACATGCATGAAGAATTTTGGTGCATATTTGTAGTCATATTGGGTTGTTGGATCAAGTCATCTCCCCCTTCAAGAAGACTGCATGTCTGCTAAGATATTTATGATGCCTTGTGCCACTAATATACTACTTTATATCTCTACATATATCTTGAAGCAAGGATTGCGTTGTCGAGTGCCGCCTACTGGCAGGCACGGGCGTCAAGGTCTAGACTGAAGGCCAATGAAATATCCTTTGTACCTGGGTGCGTGATCGCAAGCGAGTGAGTGCACGAAGTGCTTTGTATGAGGAGTGTTTAGTATGAATTAACCATTCGATCTGGACACTTGGAAAACCAACGAACGTGGGCGTCTTGGGCTTGCCTGTCTCTTGCTGATCTCTAGTAGACGTACGTTTAAGACAAATTCAAAGCAAGCCAGCCTTAAGCCTTTGCGGCACTGTATACGAGGCAGCTACGGATGGCGATTCTCCTAGTTTTGCAAAAGTGCAAAAGTATAATAGACTTTGGCATTTGATGTATGCTGTTACATGGGCATTTTACCTTAGGCTGATGACGTCGTCGCTTTCTGGTAGGAACTGGTTCTTCCACCAAGCTACGCGGGCCTGATCTCTTGCGCTACACAAAGGTTGCCCAACTGTATTGTTCCGAAGACGTTCATTTGCAGGTCCAGTGGCCAACCATTGGGGGCTGTGACAGATAGACTGGGGATTCTTTTGTTCGTGTTGTATGGGCTAGGCAGCGCGGCGGCCCCAGAGATTGGCCCGGTGATAGGAGAGGCCGTTGTGGCCACCTATGGCTGGTGGTCTTCATTTTGGCTAACGGCGATCCTCGTCGGGGCATGTTTTCTTGGTATGGTATTCGTACCGGAGACCTTCGAACGAGAAATTCTTCGGGAAAAGCTCAAGCTTTCCCGGCGCGACCTGCGCTAAGCCCTAGCGCCCGCATTTCTGCGCCCAATTCAATTGCTCTGGGACGAGCCAATCATACTTCCAACCGCCGCTATCGTCACAATGAGCCAAATCGTCATTTTTATCCTGTATGCAGGCTTCCTAGTCGTCTTGGAACGGACGTACCAATTCTCCCCGTACCAAGTGGGGTTGGCATTCTTGCCTTTCTTGGTTGGGACATTGCTCGCAGCCCCGGTCCTATCCATGGTGGACAGGCGCAAGCGCCGTCTGGCTCGCTCAGTTCCCGAGGACAATCTCCCCGGGGCCATGCTGGCAGCGATATTGCTGCCAATCAGCCTTCTCTGGTGAGATGCCATGGCGATCACTCTCGCCTACTCCCTATACTAACGGAAGGAATTTAGGCTGGGTTGGACCGCTCGTCCAACGATCCATTGGATTTTCCCCCATCTTGCAGGTATCCCGTACGGACTTGGGTTTGCCCTGTCCGAGGTATGGCTCCCTCTGGCCTATGAAATGGGTGGCTGTTGACCGAAACTACATATTACAGCTTTCTTACCCGTTGTATAAGAATGAAGTTTACGGTGCCGAGCTTGGAGCCTCCGCACTGGCCGTTGACGTAGCTATACGATACCTTTTCTCGTCCGTTTTTCCATTGTTCACTAACGATCTCATCGACGGTATCGGATTCAACTGGACCATGGCGTCCTGTGCGATCGCCATGATGGTGCTCACGCCCGTCCCGTGGTTGCTGCAGAAGTTTGGTGCTGCACTACAGAGCCAAAGCCGATATGCTAAGAACTTCCCCGTTGCGGGTGAACGGCATGAAGGGTCGCGAAAACCTACGGGAAACAATGATGGGAGCGCTCAGTCCGCTCCTTGTTCTCCTGTATGAAACCGGAGTCAACCATGATAGTATTACAAGTCCGCCAAGAATGACACGCATCACGGCAGTCAACACTACCTTCATAAAGGCTAGCTACATATACAATATACATTAATTTGGAAAACACGACTGGCGAAGATAGAGAGACTTTCCCTCCTTCTGAAGAAAGAAATCCATGATAAGATGGAATTACCACAAGAGGGCCCAAGGATGCGACTAAATAGAAAGACAAGGAAATAGCAGAACAATGTTCAGCATCTGCAGTTGCAATCTTTCATGCTAGCCAGGTCTGTGCGATACCTTTGTTCATGATCATACCATGTGTTTGGAGGCGGATGTGCCCAAATCCGCCCAACCACCCAGCTATACTTAAGCTCCTCCTTTAGCATTGACCGGAACTCACGCTCTTTCCATATTTCTATCGATCTTAACCTTGCGGTGATGTGTTTAGTGGGGGTTCCTTCTAGACAAATATGATCTCGAGCCACTCGGACAGCCAAATCTTTCAGTTCGCCCATGAAAGCAAACTTTGAACTATGAAATAACGTGTGGATGACTTGTGTGGACAAGATTCCCCAGTTTTTGTGTGACCTTTTGACGAAGTGGCGTCGTGCGTGGGTTAATATCGCAAGGTCTCTACGTCTCAGCCCATACCAATACATTTCAATATCCAGCTCAACCTGCTGGTGGAGACAGCCTGGGAATGCATCAGGAAAATAACACCGCGAAGCTTTGTATAGACTGAGATGCATGGCATGGTCCCGGTTTTTTTTGTTACTGTTCCTTTGACGTTTCCTTCCCCTAAGGTTGTATTTACTAACATGAATCGCCATTACCCCGGCATCTACCAAGCTAAGTGGTATATATCTGTTCACAACATGATTAAAATTGGTTGTGCCAAATTTGAAGAACTCTGGACATAATGTCGAGTCTTAATTCAAATTAATTCATTTTCGATCGTTTGATTATCTACTCCTGGCTAAATTTGTCCGTGCTCTAGTACCGATTGGAGCATCAACGCTCAACGCCTTTCAAATATTTGGGGTTTGCTAAGATAGATAAAAGGATTGGTCTCGTGTCACTTCTTGGCACAATGCTTTAGAAATAAAGATTCCGTTATAGTGACGTAGGGGTTGTGTTTTCCTTCACCCTCGCAACTCTGCACCCTTCAGAACTTCGTACAAGACTTGTCCGCAGTCAACAGGTAATCCGACCGCTAGACGAGCCAAAGAACGGATGAAACAGACGAAGGTCATATAGTAAAAGTAAAGGAAGAAGGACATAAAGCAAAGGAAAAGAAAACTTAGGAGAGGAATGCCAGTGACATTTTTATAGTCGAGCTCAATCTACAAACAGAGGGGGAGGAGCCAATGGCCCCTCCGAGACCCGCATACCAGAATGTGCTCTCCACGGGGGAATATCAAAGCGGCTTGGCATGATAGAAAATAGGTAGCAGCAGACCTGCATGTCTCGATAAATTCCAAGGACGCTAATCTGCTGACCTCCGTTAATGCCCGGGTGGAGGAAGATTCATGCTAAGAGAGGGACGGACTGATGTTAGGGGTGGAATCAGGACAGGGGGATCTGAGTGGAGTATGAGACTGTTAAGGTAATTTAATTAGTCCGGCATTGAAGTGGTTGTGCTTGTTTCCACATTCCTCGGAGGACATGATTATGAAAAGGACTGTACAGTAATAATTTTACCACCACACTCTCACGAATTAATTCTCGAACCTAATATCATTTTCCTATCTATGTGTATAGCTCATATGTTTTTATATGATATTTTAGGAGCGGCAGTCTCCGTCGCCGACCTCCGATACACAATATACAATTGGTTTTCCGATCTCTTTCCAGAAGCCTTTTGAAGGATCTAAAGTTCTCCAAAAATAAAAAATAAAAAATAAAAGAAAAATACAGAAAAAATGGAAAATGGAAAAATGGGAACACCAAATAGAATTAATTAGGATATAGCTTGAGCCCACTTCGGCACTATCTGCGGCTCTGGGAGCTCGTAGCTGTGGATTGGGGTGGATCTCAAAACCAAAAGAAGACATGCTCTCAATGGGTGATTCTCTCCTGTCTCCGAAAAAAGTGGCTCGGCGATGGGTTCAACATGCTCGTAGGTTCGACAGTCGAGACAGACGGCCGCCAATTGTTGCCATACAAGCATTTAGTGGGTAGGTGGCGCAAGTTGGTAAGTATCAAAAGCCTATAGGCGCAAAGTTCGCTTCTAATTAGTGTGCACAGTAATGGCACGTTTGAGGGAACCATTTTCGAACCGACCCTGCTGAACAAAGGGTAGAATCAGAACATAACTTCCAGCTATCTTCAATTAGTGGCCACTCAGACGTATAACCAACGGTTTAAGATCCAATGCTTTGTTAGCTTGAAGCTGCACCTCTACACGGTTTAGGAACCAGAAAGAACACCATGAGGGCCAATCGTATCATCTCCATCGGAGCATTATCCTTTCCGATAGCCGTCCTGATCTGCCTAGCTATTGTATTTGTTGGATGCACGTCGCCATTTACCCCATTCAACCTATACTTTATGAAGGTAATCACTACCATGCTTCTCTAGTTGAAAGGCTGACTTTGACTCCGAGGTCGACCTCACCAATTTCCCACGAATTGACGGTGGCACCTCTCGACGCTCACTAGGTATTGCCGGAATGGGTCAGTCGAACGTTGCGAGAGGTGCAGGAGAAGCGGCGCGAAAGGATGCATCGTCGGCCGTAGCGGCCGTAGTGGACCAAGTGAGTACCAATCTTGAAGCATTACTAACCAGTATCAAAGAAGACTTGCCCGCATACTACCACGTTGGCCTTCTCAGTTACTGCCAACTCCGAGACAATATCATAAATAATTGCTCAGCTCCAAGTACTTCGTTTGCATTTGGCCTGTGGGGAATATTCAAATCCCTCGCCGGAGAGGTGAATGGGCTATCAGCTAGTGATGGCGAGGCTTATCTTACAGGGAATCTACACAACTCACGAGCTATAATCTGCCTTTATATATCAGCGTACGTTGCAGCATTCCTGACATTGGCCTTTGGTATCAAGAGGTCGTTCACCTCTCGAGGAGGTGCATTACTAGTAATCTTTTCTATTGTGCGTTTGCTTCAACCAGCCATCCGTGGGCTCAGCTAATTGGCACAGACTTCAACGATTCTGCTAACCGTTGCAGCTTCATGGTCAATAACCTTGTACTATGTTTACACGCAGCACATTGAGGAAGCCCTGGGATGGTATGGTGCTCGGGCCAGTCTCGGAACTCACACCATAGCTGCAACATGTATGGCGGTTCTATTCTCTCTCGCCTCAATCGCGATGAATGTTTGGATCATTCAACGCGATTGAGCCCGGCCTGGGGGGGGATCTCACGAGATCTCGAGCCTTGGAAGCATATAGCTGGCCTTAGTCTTTTAAGCTGCTTTTATCGTAGTGGTGTCAGATACATTGGATAACAGCACGAGCAGAACGAGAATGTCTTACATATGTTGCCCTGAACATCATTCTAAGTGTACTATTGGTATGCGAGGGTCTGTAATTTTGGTAAAAAATGTAAGGGCCGGTTAACGCGTAGGGACTCGTGATTATTGCAAGATCCAATACGTCTGTAATACAACATATCTACCTTTCTAATTACAAGAAAGTATAGCCGGCCTGATTGCTTGGATCCAGCGGCCTTTTCGATCAAGCAAGCTCGTAAAAGATCGTCACCACTCGGGACTATACCTGATTAGTGGCTACGAGACGCTTACTAGTTAATAGAAGACATACGCAGGGTGTCCTGGTATGAAACATACCAAACCCCAGGTCGGTACGCTCCAGGGCCTTGGAAGGACTCTTTAGGCAAAGTATGTCCGCCGCTCCTTCCACTTGGACTACGATAGATTCGTGCCTACCGAGATGACTCAGGTAATTTATTAATCTAGGCAAAAGCACTCGGGTTGTTGGCATAATTATCTCTGGAAATTGGTTTGCACAACAGGTTTTCCCAAGAGTCTTCGACTTGATACAAAGGGAGGACCCTTTGCTTTCGGTAAATAGAAGCAGCATAACGGAATGCAGAGTGTTTTCCAAGTTGGCAATGAGTGGAATTAAGAGTTCTGTTACCAATGACCTAGACCCTATACTACTAGGTCGATGCGCTGAGGGCCTCGCAAGCCGAGAAATATAAGAAGGGGCCGGCCTGGCCAATTCGTAGCCGTCACCGAGCCACCAACACCCAGGCCTGCCTTCTAGTTCCGAAAGAATCTTTGAGCTCTAATTCTACCTCACTTCAGCACTTCGAAATACAACATGCCCGACAGGGTGCTCAAAATCCTCATGCTACATGGTAGGTAAACAGGGGCGCTAGCTAGGTAGCGCGACGCTGATCAATTACACCAGGGCATGGACAATCCGCCCAGATTTTTGAGCCCAAAACAAGGTATATCAGAAAGGCATTCCACACATTTGCTGGTGACAGAGACATCACCTTCGAGTTTCAATACTTGTCAGGCATACTCCCAGCCTACCCCGATATGGATGAAGACAACGACCGATGGGTCTGGGGATATGGTGATCCTAGTGATGGTGAGATCAAAAGAATTGACCTATCAATTAAACATATACTCGACACTCTCGATCGTGATGGTCCTTTCGTGGGCATTGTCGGGTTCTCGTCTGGCGCTGCTATGGCAGCGATCATCACATCCCTACTGGAGAAAAGGCGCAATATTTGCGACATTACTTGGAAGGTGGATTAGCCCTTAGCACAGTCTCGCTGCGGCCCGACGAGGATGAGAGAAATTGACCAGTCGTCCTTTTTAGGCGCGTCATCCCAGTCTCAGCTTTTCTGTCTGTCTCAGCGGGTTCACATTAGGACCACTGTACCGGCAGGTCTACACTCCGCTGATTGCTACGCCGACGTTCATCGCGGTTGGATCCCATGATCCAGTGATTTTACCTGCTCAGACCCGGAATCTTGCAGGTCAATGCCAGAATGCAAAGATTTTCGAGTTTCCAGGAATCCACTATGTCCCGCAGATTAAAGAATTTCCGCGGTTTTGCATATCCCTCACCCAATTTCTGGATGATGTGCTGGATCCTCCACGAATGGAGCCACCAGCATCATTGGCAGATGACACCGTGCAGCCTTCTAGGCCGGAAAGAATCTGAAGCTTTTGTGAGAGGGCTCGAACCTATTACTTTGTTCTTTGAAGAAAAGAGAGAAGAGGCGATACAATACCTTCCTTTTAGGTGGTATAGGGGATTATATTACCATTTTGTGTGTCAACATCCTGCTTCTAGTGGTGTACATGAGAAGACTCTCTATACGGATAAATCAATTGGTCTTCTTTCTAATTGCGTCGTTAATGAACAAGTCCGAAAACTGGTAGTCTTACATTACGAGTATATCTTAAAATCGGAATATTGAGAAGGAAACACGGCTTTATGGCTTTGTGCATAAAAAAAGAATAAAGCGATTAAAACAAATGGTGAAATAATACAAGCATAGGGCTTTCTAACGGATGGGAGTATTACCTCATCCGTTGGTAGGCAATTTCACCATTCTCCACATGATGCATTGGAAGTAACGACTATTTTCATTCACGGATAGCGAAGCCCGATGGCGCAACCAGCGAAATATGTTGCTCTTCGAGGTTGCTGGGCCCCTTGTGTTCGCTCCCGTCTCTAGGTTTAGATTCCTTAGATGTTCCCCAGGGCGATCGCGGTGAGCCAAGATGGAGAATTTCACAATCTTTCTCCCGGTTTGGCAAGAGCGTAGCCAAATGACAACAGTATAGCAAACGATCTGCGATACCGCCAATGCTAGCGCGGTCACCAACATTTTGCTTTCTGTAAGTCCGTAGGCGAGATGTATCACAATGTTCTCCACTCCAAAAAGGTTTGCCGTGAGACACAGCCTGATAGCTCAAGTCAGCGGTCTATATTGGGTCTTTCTTGAGATATCTGAATGTACCTATTCCCTAGAAGTGACATTCGTGACCTTAATGCCGCGAAGGGAACGAGGAATAAAGGCAGAAACTCACATGGGGCAAGGGCAAAGGCAGCCCTAATGCTAGCATTCTCCTTGCTCAAGCTCTGGTTCAAAGGACCTTGCAACACAGGCGGGAAAAGGAGAAAACTGCATTACAATTAGTTATGGGGAGGAATGGGCGTCGGTGATTCACTGGCCCGATTAAAATCATCCCTCGAGGTAGAAGATTAATCACGTTCCAGTACCATCGGCCACATGCCGTGCGAATTCTGTCCTCCTGTTCTATACGTTTGACCATTTTGTTAGTGTCTGCACCTCCGTACCAGGAATTCATCTTAGTGGAGACGTAAGAGCACCAGCTAAATAATTCCACATGTAGGAGGGCGGGGGATCCATTTTCTATAACAAATACAGACAAGGGTGAGCTCGATTCCCAAAGCTCAGTGAGTCACACTTTCATGGATGTTGACACGTTTAGCTCTATGTTTCTAGGTTTGATTTTACTATAGAGAGACTCAAAAGACAGAATAAATCAAACTAGTTGATTGGAGGAGAGAGAAACTACTGTGGGTCTCACTACGTCTAAAAACACAACACCAGGGGTTGATGCCTGAGACACTATAACAGCTTTTAACGTATTTCACTACTCGATCCAACTCAACATATTAAATTTAAATGCATATATTGCAGCCAACACATCATTAGGTTAGTTCAACTAGCTGATTTCTCTATCTGGACATGTTTCTCTTCTATGTCTTGGCTGCCTACATATTCCACATGCTCGCCCGGCTCGGGGAGGTGGTTGTAAACCTTTAGAAACCTGCTCACGATAGGTATTGATACGCGCTACTTGGGAACACTTCATCGTCGACCAAAAGAACAAGAGAAGGGAGCCAATTCCGAGAGTTGAGGTCCCACAAGAAACCAAAATTTGTATCTGAATAAGCCTAATTTTACACCAATCTGTAGGGGAAAAAAGGTCAGAGTGTAGCCTCTCACAGTGCTTCTCATAATCTTGGTTGGAATCTAGAGAAAAGCAACTTTTAATATGGGAATAGCCTTTGCAAGGGGCGCAGTAGGTATAGTCTGAAACGTCAGCTCTGGAGTGAAACCCAAAAAAACGTTTTTCTGGTAAATATTCGAGCCCGATTATCAAATCAAAAGCTCAATCCATCCGACAAAGAGGAGAAAAGACCTCAGATGACTATAATTTGCTCAGAGTTATCTTACCTACATGGACTAGTGCCTGGGATGGCTTTCGGAAATGGAGACAGAGAGATTAGAAGTACATAAAAACCGATTTTGAATATCACTGCTAAATCTGCATTCTCTCTTTCTTTTTACATTCGATAAGCAAGAAACAAGCGATCTTAATCACAAGCCTCGACAGAATCAATGGCGTTGTGACCACTTTGAAAGAATGTCCGCAAAGTTGGTTGTCAACGTCACTGGTGACAGCATTTCCCCACTTTGTAGAATTCCTCACTTCGTATTGAGGCGGTTTACGTTGCCCAGTCGAGTACCCGTGGAATTCTTCCGGCTGTCCTAGGAGAAGGAAGGCCCTTTCAAACTGGGAACAGGAAACATTCATAAATCGCAACTGTATCAAACACTGCAGTGATTTTCTCACCCGTCAGGTAGGAAAAACGCCAGATACTCTACAGTAGTATAGAAGAGGCGCACTGACTTCATCTAGCTCTGCTCGATCGCACCATTGAATAGATGACAAGCGAAGGGTCGGACTCCCTTTTACCAACACGGAGGCATACTGCAAGTTGCATAATGTGGGTCTAACTTAGCTTTAGAGCTATTTTTGATAATGAGCTTCTATGATCTGTCAAAAGCTGTCGATAAGGTGATACATGGCGATATATTATAATGCTGATCCGCAGTCATGTCTGCAAGATAACGTTCGCCCATAGACAGCGAGCGATTGACTTCCCGTTATAGGCCTGGGCTCACATTTTCGGTGATATCATTTGCCCGCATCCATTCACGCTCTATTCTGGCTCCACAAGTCATGCTGCGTTCAGGGACCCATTCCCCTAGCATATCCCGCAAAGACAGCAGACATCTTTCAGGCCCTGGAGGTTGATAATACGGGCTGAAGACTGATTCGGGTGTTAGGGATTGTGTGTCGCCGCCTGAGGACTCTATCCGGCATGATGGGGTCCAAGTTGGTCGCTTTTTAACGTCGATCATCCTTCAAAGTTAGGGACCAAAGCATGTATATTGAGTTTCCGGGTGGGAATTACCTCTGAGCTGCACTGGATTGAAATGGCCCATCCAACTTTATCTGAAATTCCGTTGACGGCCTACTCGGAGAAAACGGTTGAGTCGCTTGAATTGACGTCTTGACATAAAAAGGCTTGGAACTCGAGAAACGGGCTCGTTTAGGCATATTCCCTTGACCAGGAGGCTTTTGCTGGCACTGGAAACAGACCGCAAAGGAGACTGGCTTATATATTAGGCGGCGAAATATTCGTATCACCTCGTCGTTACATAATCTAGCTATATTCCACTGATATCAACGCCCCATCGATAAAATTAAAATGACGGATGTCTACGAGCAAATGCAAAAGGTGAGCCTTTAGTTTGGTTTTGGTAGACAAAACCCTCCCACTCAGAAAACCTATCTGAATACGATGAGAAAGGAAAGATGGTTGTATTTTGGCTAGTCAATCACTATGAGCCCTTCGTACAAAGCAGTCGGACCTAATCTGGCCGGCTCTGGCACTGGCTAAAAAGCAAACACACGGCTGCCTTTCTCAGCCCCTCCGAGGTCGTCCCTCACGTCACATCCCGCAGGCATTGACACATTGTATCTGAAAAATGCCCGAGCGATGACAATTGCCAGCTCTAGCACAGCTAGATTCATTCCCACGCAGCGGTGGGGGCCATCTCCAAATGACTTGAAGAGGTCTCACCTTAATCTTTTTCCATCTGCCGACATTCACCGTTCTGGTAGAAGATCGTCCTCTCTATCAAAGATAGCCTGGTTTCGGTTGTAGGAGCTAAGACAGACGCCCACATGTGCGTTCTTTTTGCACTAAACAGCCATCTATTGCAAACATTTCAGCGTGCACCACGCGAGGAGACAGGTTAGGAACGGCTGGGGCCAACCGCATAGCCTCTCGAATATATGCTAGAAGATAGGTGCAGCCTGCTAGCTTGGGTCCTGAAGTAATTTCACTTTCATCTTTTAACACGCTTCGTAGACTCTCGGTCACATTGTCGAGGCTTTCCCGGTTATGAACAAGGTAGAAGAAAATAGCCCCCATCGTCGTTGACGTTGTATCAGAGCCTGAAGCGACCCTTTGTTAGCAATCATCACTATAGGACAGCCCTCGCGAGAATTATGCCTGGCGTACCTGCCGCTAGGAGCAAAACACTTTCGGTCCAGATACCCCTCTCAGTGAAAATGCGGTTACCGTTCTTGTACTTGGCTTTGCAGAAGAGTGCGAAGAGGTTGTCATTCTCGACATACACTGTGGGGCGTTTAACGGATTTGCCCCGCGTCCACTGACGCAGTTCGACAACCGATTTGAAGCCGAGAATAAAGCGATACAGATTAATCAAGTATCTGGACTTTGGCTGCACCATGCACTATAAGCAGAGTCAATGGGCGTGTGGAAACATAGACGTACGGTCATGATCCATTGGGACATGTTACTGTAGGCGGCCCCAATCCAGCGAAGCTCTGCAGACTGGAGCATATTGAAAGAGTCATCGTAGAAGAGGCCATCGATGATATCTAGGGACAGCTAGTTACAAAGGTGTCGCAAGTCGTGGTCGCCTGCTCTAAGAAGGTCGATGAAACAGTCAATATAAGGCCTCTTCCGGTCTTCATTGCGCCGCGTCATGCCTGGACAAAACATGCTTGATATTGTCAGGTGTTTGGATTTATGTTTCTCAGTCATCTACTGTGCTCATGATGGTAGGCTCAGAGGGGTCGACACTAAACCATGTCTAAATGTCAGGCTTGTCTGTCACATCTTGGTTTGCTACGTAGATATCACGCAGAATCTGGGGGCTTTTGAATGATAGCTCGTTGGGGCCAGAGCGGAAAACCGGTCCTACGATACCAAGGTGAGTGGGGGCAATCTGGTTGGGCCTCAGTCTTACTCACCATATCTATGGTGGCAGCGCCGGTTATAAGTGTGCAAAGTACCCCTCCAACCGTAAACTGCCGGGTACCAACGAGTACCAGCTGCGAGCCAGGGTCCTGGATGATGTGACAAGGGATGGAAGCAGATTCTTCGGATGACACTGGCTAATACTTTTGCTACATTAGTAAGTGTTAGACGTTGCGATAATCATTCCCACTTACATATAGAAATGACAGAGCTAGGGGTAGAGTAAACACCATGGAATGCGAAATACTGGATGTGCCAGCAATGTGATTTTCAACAAAGCCATCTGTGCGGAATTATGTCAGTCGGAAAGTTGGGACCAGACTGCCTTGACACCAGGCAGCCAAAGGTACCTATACCATGCTAAAATATACTTTCTCTGTAACATGGCTTACGGCAGGGTGAGACTGGAAACGATTGTCCATTCCATCATCGCTCGGGGTAAGACATGTGCATGCTAATTCCTAACCTGACGCAGTAAATGGCGATGGTTATGTCAACATGGCAATGTGGGCAAATCATCATCTAATCATGCTATGGTGGATTAGTTGGGAAAGATTCGGACCCAATTTTATTGCAATAATGTTGACAAATCGTATTGAAAGTAACATAGAGCGCATCTACGGATGTAAACCCCGAGATCATCTTCCTATCGCCGGTAGTTTTGTACATCTATGATTGAGCTTCAAATATCATGCATATGACCCCTGTATAACGCCCTAGAGAGAGGGAATGTGGCAGAAAACTTTTAGCTGTAGGAAACATCGTGCAGTGTTTAACTTATAGTGCCGTAGCTGATGTTGTCAAGCCTATCTATAGTCAATGGCGCGCTAGTATCAGGGCGAAAGCTTTGATAGCGGTTTGATGGAGTATAAGTACGCGGGGCCGATGAAGATAATTATCGTTAACATTTCTTATACTAGAGATGCCTACTTAGACTAAGGAGCCTATCATAGCATATAGAAAAACATGCGAAGCAGACTATGCTGATTCTAAATAGGGGCGTATCTCTCCACTATGCCACTCCACAAGCACCAAGCACTACAACACAATGGCGAGCCCGGTGGTTCAGAACAAAACCGACCGTCAATACTGGAGCGCACGCCATTCGATAAATAATTCTCGCTATAAGGCTGCAGAGGCATGTATCAAATTCACAGCGGGCTGCGAACACGCGCATAAATAGGCTGAACGCTTCATCGAGCCTCACATTCTGTAGCTAAGAGGGCCACAATAGACAAACAGGGTCCCGTAACGACCCCCACCCGTAGAATAAAAATCACGAGCCAGATGCTGCAGAAGGCTGGCACGGCGGCATGCGAATTCCCCGTATGCAACACCAAGTTTGCTAATGATCACACGTCAGATCTACTTGGTCCACGATCACTTATATGTCTGTGTCGGTTAAAAGGCCTTGTTAGTGGGCACAAGCTGGCAATATCCCGTCAGGTCTATTCACTACGTAAAGAGCACACACATGATTCGAACGTTGTAATCGCAATTAGGTTGTCACCGCCTTTCTCCTCCCGCCTACCGCCTGCTAGGACAAGCAGCGACGAACGATTTGAATCGACCCCTAAGACAAAGACACCGGTCCCAGTGAGCTCAGTGAGCTACCAACCCGCAATATTGACCGATGTTAAAATATAAACTCGAACCCATCGTTCGAAATAGGCATGTATACTTTACACCTATTCAACCTGTAACATTCAAATCCTGTCTTCTATACAACCGTAAGAAAACCAAGTCACAAAAATGTAAGACAAAAAAGCACGTCAAAGTAAGTCATCAACATCATTTGCAGCCCTCGAATGTAACTAAACAAAACAAAGACGTTCAAAGAATACTATCATTCCAATATGCATAGTGCTAGGTGCGTCCCGAGTAGTACGAGGTGCCCATTGGGAAATACGGGTGCATGCAGGCCTGTTTTGCAGAAAGACGGTGGACGGGGTCATATTCGAGCAGAGCCTGCAGAAGCTCCAAACCATCCCGCCGCAGGCCGGGCACAATGGGCGTACTAGGGCGCTTCCACTTGGGGAAGGTCATCTCGTAGGAGGGGAGCGAGGTAACGCCCGGCCACATCTCTTCATCTGGTGTACCGAGCACACTGCGACGGACATAATTAAGTTAATAAAGAAGTGGTAGCAACCAGAAAGCACCTACCGGAAGATCTTTAGGATCTCATCAATCTCCGAGTTCGCTGGGAACAATGGCTTGCCAGTCCACATCTCGGCGAAGATAGCGCCTACCGACCACATGTCGACACCAGTAGAGTAGTGGCGGTCTCCCAGAAGAAGCTCGGGGGAACGGTACCACAGTGTAACCACCTATAATGATGGTATCAGTAGGCCGACGTTGTGTCTGTCTCCAGATTTGGGTCCCAACCTCGTGGGTGTAACTGCGCAGTGGGCCCCCAAATGCTCGGGCCAAGCCAAAGTCGGCCAGCTTCAGATTATCCTTGTGGTCAATGAGCAAATTCTGAGGCTTCAGATCGCGGTGCAGAACACGATGGTTGTGACAATAACGGACACCCTCTACCAGCTGCGCCATTAGCCTTTGTGTTATGGCACCATCCAGACCTCGTTTAGCTGTCGTCTTAGGCCCATCCAAAGCAGCCTTGCCTCGTCCACTCTTCATGTAACTCTCCAGGTCAATGTCAAGGCACTCCATCACGAGGTAGAGGTCGTGCCCATCAGTATGAACAACGTTTAGCAATTGTACAATGTTGGGGTCGTGCAATTCTTTAAGGAGGGATATTTCGCGGATGGCAGTGCTAGGAACACCCTCATTCTCACCTCCTAAATAGATCTTCTTTAGAGCAACGACACGGTTTTGATGGCCAAGCTCGCGGGCCTTGTAGACCACGCCGTAGGCACCTAGGAAGTAAGTTGGAATGGTGTCCTTGTAAGCCGTGTCAATGACCAGTACCTTGACCGATTTTGCCTATTGTCCCGTATTTCTCCATTCTAAAGGCAGAACTGGATACTGTACACTAGCGATGTTGATCTTGTTGGCTGAGCGTCAGGTGCAGAGACGACGGGCTGGAGGCAGGTTGAATCGGGGCGGGGGAATGATGGAAGGACAAGGAAGGCCACGAGAGAAATGAAGCCGAATAGGATAGCGCTTAATCAAAGATAATTTTCCGGATTCAATAGTTGCAAGTAAGTATATTTCGATGATGGTGGGAGCAAAGATAAACAACACTCCGCGTTCACCAAAACCTCACTCATTGGGCCCGAGAGACAGGGATAGCCTCGCCCTAGTATTGGACAAAGACTGTCAACCGTTGGGAGGCAAAAGGTCAAGCAATGGCCTCGCATATGCCTCCACGGAAGGATCACCTCAGTTTCTAGTCAAGGAGAGCATATTGAAATACATTCGCCTCCCCCCGAACCTGCATTCTTGATCATGTGTTTTTTGAAACGCCTTGGTTCACTTTAGGCCCCGAGCCGTTGCAGCTCCAAAATCCCATATATCTTGGCAGCACGCTCGTCTTCATGGCCAGACTGATCTATTCATACCATTCGAAAAGCCTCACAACCAAGATTTCAATTGTGTTATTGTGCGGAGCGAGCAGTGGGGCCGCTAATTGGCTCTATCTGCATCGCAAGATAAATACTGAAATAGTGCATATCTTTTTAGATCAGCAGATGTGATATAGGTTCATCTATAGGGGCTTATAAGCCTATCTTCGCATTGAATATAACCGAAAGAAGAAGTAATAGATCCAATAACTGCTCAGAGCCTTTTCCGTCCTGGACGTGCCATGACATTAGGCTGCAACTAACGTTTGATTCACACTCGAGTGGAGTGGGCAGGTTTGTTTGACAACACAGGGTTTTTATGAACAGTCTGATGGCTGATGGTCTACCCATGCTCTTACGCATCCCAATAACCATGTTTGACCACAGGTATACTTTGAAATATATTGGTAGATATTTGGGTGATTTGGAAATATGTATAGAGTGAAGATGAAAAGAGATATCTCAATATACTATGGGGCGAATGGTAAACATCTGTCCCCCGATCCAGCCAGGATAAAAGGCCATCAGGGCCTAGAAGTTCGGAGCTCTATGGACGCTGGAGCAGGCGGTAGAGAGCTTGTATTCACAGGCCCCTTTTCCTTTTTCTCAGTGCTCTCTCTGGATAGCTCTCAGTTTTTAGGGTTTGGTGAAAGAGATGCAGCAAATTGGAAAGCTGTTGCAATATCTGAGGGCGGTTGAGCAGAACTTTTATGGCCGGCTAGCTACAGTCCTGACCGAGAATGGAGCCTTTGACCTACAATGTTCTATATAGGTTCGCTCGAAATCAGTTTCACCACTTTATTCTCTTCGGTTCTTCTTGAATCTTGGCTAGATCCACTTCAGTCTACATCTGGCCTAGCTTATCTCGCTCTATCGAATAGGAAAATGGCTGTGAGTAAGAGTCTGTCATTGACTAGCCACATTAGGCCTAGCGTAACTAAAAATATACACTCGAGAAACATTCAAAGAGAACAAAATGTTGAAACTGATTACGATCCGTCCTGTATGCGTGAGACGTTTATCTGAGCATACTTCCCTCAGTGCCCCTATGCCGTTTGCTTGTACTTCCGATAGACGCTTCAATTGTTTCTCAAGAGCGCCGATGACTAGTGGGGTAATATATAAATCGGTTAAGACAAGAGGCGATACAAGGGCAGGGCCAGACCGACCTTTGATTCCGGATGGTGCTAGAGGGATCGCAAAGTCTTTGAAAGAAACCCATTTCCAAATCCAAATCTTCATGGATATATCTCAAATAGTTTTCCAAAGCTATCCACCATGGCTCCCAATGCGCCAAATGCGCTTGTATACCTTTTCTTAAAGATCTTGTAGTAGATTCTGTGCTTCGTCGTCACGACCAAGACGGAAGGATAAGGCAAACCCTCGATGCTGGAGCAACTGAGCGCGTATTCTCGGACTGTTATCCATGATGCGCGACATTCTTTCTGCTGTGAGTGCGAGTTAACAACGTGGAGGCGGTTAGAGGGGTGCATTCCCTTACCCGCCTCACATTCCCTCTTGATTGCAGGGATGTGTGATATTTGCTCTTTTCGATGCCTCTCTTTGTCCTGTCTACTGGCTGTGTAGGTCTTTGCCAGAAATCTCGCATGGCTGCTTCTCATCTCATCCAGTGACTGACAGTGAAGTGCAAATTCTAGAGGAAGAAGAGCAGATCAGCCGGGAGAACGAGTGCGCCGAAGAGTGAGATAATCCCCACTATTGTCAGGTATATTGCTAAAGATTCAACAGCCAATGATAGAGTCATTAGCCGTACTATGCCCTCACGCGCCAAAAAATATTCCCTGCTCCAGAGAGTGTGGCCCCGATGGACCAAAAAGAGCAGAGAAAAATGGCGAGGGTTGGATGTGACTCAAGTTTTGTGCAAGCCAAGAATAAAATTTTCTATCGGATGTTGTACTATCACAATTGCCATTCCGAGCAATCAACTCCCTTTCCTGTCAGAAAACTATGTCCGGCCCAAGATGTGGCTCGCTGGAATATTTACCCTCGCCTTGGACTAAACATACATTGGAGGCGAATAGTGCGGACAGCATAGATGTCAGGATGCGGGCTTTTGGGAAACGGATTACGGCCCCCGCTCTGACGTTAATCGATGATGATTTATAGATGTATGTACACTTCTTTCATGCGCCAGTCCAACTTCCTTCGCAAATATATACATACTGCATCAGTAAGGAGTAGGTCCAGGTTAACTAGAGACGAGGTATCTTTAGGCGTGGCTTGTTCAATGGATCAGATCTCATGAGTTTCGGTCTAAGTGCCAGGTCATCTTCTGGCTTCCTATTCAGCTATCTCGGTATGGGCCTAACAAATATCTCATCCTTTAAGCCACTAGATGCAGCCAAACACTGAGATACATTCAGCTCTAGAGAAGCGAGTACCAAATCGCATGCACAATCCCCCCAATCATAGGGCTATGTGTTGAGTTATGTCCAATTACGGAAGGGAAACGTTATTGAGGGAATTTGCAAAATCTTATCAGAGTTGCTTGCACGAGCGACACCTTACGGCGTGGAAGTTGTGACCTTTGCGCAAGGTCTACTTTCGACCTTTACCTTAGTAGGCGATCGGTAGAATTTAGTCAGTACTACGAAATGATCCATATAAAAATACGATATGTCCTCAGAGCCTTCACCACGTTTCTTGCTACTGTTAATTCTTAGGCACACTTGTACAAGATTCCTGACCGAGGCCGAGGGAAAGGCAAGTTCGATATGTCGTTAGAGCGCTTTGAGAAGAAGCAGCTCATTTCCCCAAGGACTTTGCCAAATACCGAAGCAAGTGGGAGGAGCTTCCCCCTCAACCAGCCATCAGGCGACTATATGTCCTGGCCAAGCCCTATCAAGCGGCCTCCAGTCAAACAAGAGTCCTATGAAACAGTATCAACGCCGACCGGTGATGCTTCGTCTGGAGATATATGGTCTTTTGTTCCAGCATGGGTCCAGAACAGTTTCAGAGGTCCGCAGTTCGTTCCCGGCGTACGTAATCAGATTCATGGAATATTTCATATCGCTCACGCTCATTAGCATTTTATCCTAGTGGCCACCTCCCAGAGATCCCCATTGCTCAAATGGGAGGGCCCGGACATTATGAGTGCCTCAACTGGTATACACGATGTTTTCCAACACATAAGGGAGAAACTGGGAGTATACTGGATGGAGTGGATCGAACTACACATAACCGGATTCTCTCCACTGCACTTTCCTCCGCGACCAGCCTGGGGGCATGACCAAACTTTTCACGAAAACATCAGTACATATCTGTCCGACCGTGATGCTCTTGTAGCCGTGCGTGATGACATTATACGCTGCGATAAGGCCCACAATACTCCTTACGTTCAGGTAATCATCCGTGTTCCTCCACCACGTCTACGGTGGCTGGCGTAAACATAGACTCAAAGGACCAGCTATTTGTTTTGGAGAACTTGAAGGACGTGTAAATTTAGCTGTCTCGCCCGTCTTTCTACTGCTTGTTTTTTTTTTGAGACTTTGACGCACATGAAGCTCATTTGTTAAATTCTCAAGTTTGGCCTACTTCAAATTTGTGACCAACATCCTCGTTCTCACTAGCGTCCATCTTTAATTTACCAATAAATATTATTGACTAAGGCCAGTTCCCAGCAGGCACGTATCAAAACATCGCAGTGCTTGCATTTCCTCCGTGTGCGATCAAGATCAACCCTTGGGCGCTGCACACATATGCTCAAAGCAGAACAGGAAGCTTAAAGTCTTGAAATTTTGTGTAGCATGCTTTATAGAGGAAGATGCGCGTCTGCTTTTTTTATGTCATTTTAGACCTGCGTTGAGTGAGAAGTGCTTTCTCTTTGAGGCAAGCCCTGAGGTGGGCGGAAGCTTTCGAATAGAGCTGATGTATGTGTATCTGTAGACATGGCGTGCAATAGTGGTATAGAAGCGGCATTGTATAAAATTGACCAGCTCATTCTATTCGAAAGGCTTGTCCTGCACCTTTGGGCTCCCTAAAACATGCCGAGAAGCTCTCGCCTTGAAATATAGAACGTAAATATAGGATGCAGATCCAAAGAGCGAGGCCATTATGACACTTCTGCATGCAAAGAATAGGCAAATCGCCTGTCAGACCCTGTTCTGGGTAACTTAACGCACTATAGCTCAATGGATCAAATCGCGATTAATGTTCAGTCGCCATTGAAAATTCCTTTCTTTGGTTGTACATATGGCACATGCCCTAGGACCCGGGCAGACAACCTCCAAAATCAGACGCTCGGGATCGGCGCTTGTAACCACGACACACGGAAAGTCATTATCACGGAATATCATCAGAGTGAACTATATGTGCCAATCACGTCTGGGAATACCGGAATATCCAAACTGTCCCTTTGAGCTCGTAAATTCTCATGGGCTTGGAAATTTTAAAGAGCGCGATCTGCCTACTTGTCTGCCTATACCCGGCCCAAATGCTTGGCACAAAAACCCGATCGGGTTGTTGGGCCGCACCACACAAAACATAATTTCTATTAACCCACCATGTTAAATTCATTACCACCACCCCAAATATGACTCAAATATCTGAGGAAATGGAGGATCGCATTGAAATTGCCTTGCAATTATATGCCGAAATTGACAAACCAAAGATCGCTAAATTGGGGCGGGAATTAGACATTCCGTACCAGCTTCTACGAGGTCGGGCTCAGGGTGCAAAACCTCAAAATGGCCGTATAGGCCCATGCTAGAACCAAAGCAGGAGCAGGCATTAATTTATTGGATACATACATTAAATGCTGCCAATGCACCACCAACTGCCGAGATGATCCATGACTGCGCCGTCCAAATACTTCGCCGTCACAGTGTAGAGCGGGACATTGGTTATAACTGGGCATACCGGTTTATTAAGCTCCTTCCGATAAGTACCTCTATATTAAACAAAACCCAATGGAAAAAGATCGGATGGAAGCAGTTACACCTGGGCATTTAAATGCCTGGTACGATCGACTTGCTAATACCCTTCAGCAATATAAAATTCACTCAAGCCCACAACTAAAAGCATGGTTCCAAATTGGGTACGAAGAGGTGGTTCCGCTTTTGGCCTACGACGCTCCCAATACCATATGCTCCCGCCGAAGCTTACCGAATGGGATCACACCAAAGCAATTTCATTGAATTCTGTCAGCATCTAGTCTATTTTGGGGCTTGTATAATTATGCCCGCGTTGTCAAAAGCCACAGGTTGGTCAATTACACCCCTGATAGTGATTGATTTCAAAGCGGCCGACTCAGGGCATTCCAATTGGGAACTAGGCTACTGCGACAAAGAGCACAGGCGAACGATTGCCAATCGAGGCACAGTTGAAGAATATTACTACTCCGGGCATAGCCTCGAGCAGAAGGCCTACACGCCCATACACTGCAGGCGATAGAATCCTCAAAAGGGTGGCTTTGGGGTGAGAGATCATCAAACTGTGGTATGTGGGTATGATTCGTAAGATATTTTCCGTCAAATAGGGACTGCAGGCGGAAGCCGGAGACTGGAATACGTCAAAAGTGTAAAAGTCATGGACTATAGATCAGCATCCTCGGTGAAAACTCGGTGGGGACGCGAGTGACGACAACGCACGCCGTTAAATAACAGCCCATGTAACAGTCCAAGGCCACACCACTTACGCACATTGCTCGCCCACGCGTGGCAGATTTGTCTGAAAATGGACTAAATGTATGTGTTGGGGTCCGGGGGCCTTGACATCAGATGTCAAAAGTGCTTGGTATATCTGGCGCAGCCCGCCTCTCATTATCTGAGCCGGATCAGGTTGTCTTCCTATTAACAGCAAGTAACGTAAAGACCCCCAAACCTGCAACATACACCGGCCCTTTCGGAAAGGAATACTTTGTGTCTTAAATGACGTTAGTACCGTAGCTTTGTTTCCTTTTGTTTAGAAAAGGCAGACTTTACCTGAAGCCACGCTTCTTGAGACTCAAAATTATCGAAATCCAGTTGCCGTAGCCCTAACTCGCTGCAAAATCGATGGACGAGCCCGAAACCCTGGAAGGTTTCCCAAGATGTATCCGCTATCTGAGAATGGGCCGCTGGATCCACCCCAAGGAAAATCTTTTTGCTATCACTATTACGAAAGACCAATTCCGTCAACCTTGTGCAAACTTTAACCAAGTCCCTTCCGTCATCTCTCCTATTGCCATGCTCCACTGGGGTTGGCTTTGATCTTAGATAGCTTTTAGCATATAAAATCTCATCAGATGCTGGGAGATGTTGTAAAAATAGTGGCGGAAGCGGTACAAGGCCGAAAAACCTCTCGAGCAATATCCAAAACTCCTGCTCGCCGATGTACCTCGATATTGGCGGGTGGACAATCCGATTATATCTCAGAAACATGTTTTTGACACGCCACAGCATGCAGGATGATGGGAGGTTGTGTGAAATGCTTGCTATGTGCTGAGACTTCTCTATAATTAGAGCCCTTACTCGGTGGTAGCACGTTCGCATTGAGCTTTCGCGGTACCGAGATAAGATACGGTGACTTTTAATTTTACATCTGCTTGGATTTGAGAGCAGTGGCCAACGGTCGGACTCATTCTCACTGTCGTCTTCCAAAGGTGCTTCGGTACATGCCTGGTTTTGTTGACGCAGATCTTGCAGCTCGATTCCATCTATAAAAGCACCGTGCAGATCACCATTCTCTTCGTTAGAATGAAGTAATTTCACAGGGTCTGCAACACCTGGTATAAGGGGCAGAGGTTTGTCTCGGTGGCCTTTTGTACCCAGGCTCTTCGCACCGAGATTTGGTTTGCTACCACGTAAGTGGGGCTCCTTGAGGCCCTGGTTTGACTGAAAGCTGCCTCGGATTTTCCTCTGGCGAAGACTGGATTTTGGGAAATCCATCAGCACAATGGCTGGCAATATCTTACAGTCTGTTATGATGCCCACAACTCTCGCACTCGGGTGGTGATCAGAAATTGCGAAGCGGATATATCCATGAATTCTGCCAAAAGCTAGATTTACCCGCACTGGAACTTCCTTTGGCTGATGGTATGACCGTAATTGGATCCGAAGCTAAAATTATCATGAATATGAAAACAGGCTTGGGAACCTTTGTGATCTAATTACAGACTGTTGAGGCATGAATGCCCCTCCCAAATCTAGCCCTGGAGAGCGTCAGTGACATAAGTATATATATATGCAAGCTCAAAGTTCATGCGGGCGACCGGGTTTATTACCACGGCGGAACAAACGATAAAACGACTATAAGCAGTCAGCTGAGCAGCCAGTCAGTGTACGTGAGTACTGAACAGTGCTCGAAGGCAGCACTTGATAGATGGCAACATGTATCCAACAGCCTAACAGGTCGTAGCGCTAGTGAACTAATGAACAAGGAAAACATCGTCCAAACCCAACATACTTGGACATGGAGAGCGTAGACTCAATGTGATAACATGTTTATCACGCAATTCATAACCTAGCTGGTTCTCTTCATCGAACCATGATTCTTTAGATCAAATTCCCATGCGAGCGTAGAACACCCTATTACTGATGGATCCTATTCAAGTCAATACTTTTCGGGAATACGTAAATATAATGAAAATAATCCAGCCAAAGGTCTGAGTATGCCTTCTGAGTACCACTGAAGCGTGCTTGGCTGTTTCTATTGCAACAAGCTGACCATTCTCTGGTAATCGAGGTTTCACCTCAAGTATGAAGCACGCCTGCTGGTCAAGGTTAAAATGAAGCTCATCAGAAGACAAGGAGGCTCTGTTGATGTTTAGACGCTTCTCTATATCCCTACAGATTATCCCTCGAACTATTTCAGTTGGATCTCTCTGTTCTCAGTTGCCACATAGCCAAACCACGTCGCAATGTATTTAGTCTCATTTCCGAGGCTCACAAATCAAATGGACCACATCCCGAGCATTAGACTCGCTCAGCGTGGGATGCGCAGGGTAAAATTCCGTTCTGAACCACTCATCCCCATCCAGCAGTGCCAGGGACACTGACCGAATGTCTCTGCCCCCCAGCTATTTTTCACTTAATTTACGACAGATTCGTTGATTTCAACCCATAGAATCCCAGATAGAACCCCACTCTGACTTAACACCCGGGCATACTTGCAAGAAGAGACCCACCATGCACATTGGCTGTGAGGCAGATAGATTTGTCCCCTTCTCTGTTGTTATTTGACTGTACATGCGCTGGCGTTTTGAAGTATTCCCGTTAAACACCAATGCAAGGCCAGGAGGCAGATATCAAATTTATGACGTAGAAATTTAGGCGAAGCAAACATAGTTAGGAGCCCTACACTTACACGCTCATATATTAGTGGCAAGACTGTAAACACTCGCGGGGTCGTTTGCCCGGCAGAGAAGTCCAATTGACGTCCAAGACTCGAAATTTCAGGAAGGTTAAATATAATCTGTTTCCATAACTAGCCCGTTCAAGACCAACCGATATGACGAGTTTTATAAGCAAAACAGGCAGGTTTCCGTCGTTACTCGAGATTTATATTACTACGGAATGCACCATGATGGATGTGAGAGAATTTGGTAAGACGGTCGTGAATCTGGGGGCTGGAGGGCCCCGGAGAGCAGGCAACCTAGGCAGACCTAATGAATCGTTGGGATACCGAGTTGGCCCCTTCATAATGTTTGTGACGGTGCTCAATCAATTTACCACATTGGTAGGCTGAGGGACAAAGATGGTAGTGCATTGAACAAAGATATCGCATTGAATAAAGTAAGAAAGCACTGGAATAACTAGTTACGACATGCTATTTGTTTTGCTGAGCGGAGGCTGCTCCCACGAGTCGTTGGATTTCGACGAGTGGCTAGGTCAGAATCCGGCCGGTCTTTATGTCTCTACTGCGAGCGTATAGCAACATTTGAGTGAGGAAGAGGTCATAGGAGCGCAGACTTGGAGAGAAGGAGATATAGAAGGCATTCGTAGAGTGAAAATAGTAAAGGCGAAATGTTCCAGTAAATGGGAAGGAGCACGAAAAAAATGGAGAGTGATTGACCTAGAGGCGTACGGTCGGGCACGCAGAGAGATTCGAGTAAATACAGCAGCTGGAGAGGTCTTATGAAAGTTAAAACTTGGCGATCCCTTTTACTCATTCCTAGCACAGACCAAAGACCGAAAAAACGCCACCACCGTTGGATATCCGACTGGTCCTGGTATAGATATCATTTTAAATAATTAGGTTTGTCACATGAGCATGGCCCAGCTATAACGCTTGTTAAGTAGAGCTAAGGATGTCTATTTTGACACTGTTCTGGTTAACACGTCATAGTACGTTCAGCTCCGCCCGCCACTTCTCATTCACCAGCTCCGAGAAATCATCGAACACCCAGTTCTCAAATTCCCGGAGTCGAGGAAAATGGTGCTGGATGAGTTTGACTATGCGGGTAGCCTCACTAGATGTTCGAATGGATATTAGACACGGCTTTCTGCAATGGAAAGTATGGAAGGTAAAAAGTGACATAGGTGGACAGTCTGACTTACCGGTCTATTTCCTTTTCTCCCCCAGCTTCTGATCGTGGATAAATCCCATCTATTATCAGAGTTTCCAGCCGCGGGAATAATGCCTGTTTTTGTTGTGACTCAGGCACAAAGCCAACAGGAACCTCGCAACGCATCAGCCTAGGACATCGGGCGGCAATAATGCGCCATATACTGGTGGTGACATGTTTGGATTGATAATACAGACTAAAATTCTCCAGTAACGGCAAATGCAACAACAGTTGGTCCACATCGTCATCCGTAAAGTCTCCATTCTCGGGGTGAAGATCTTGGTCGGGTTCCAGCGTCAAGGTCCGTAGGTTTTCCAGATTACGAAACACCTTCAACTCGTCGCGAAGAACCACCCCATTGCCACTGAAGCGAATATGGAGAACCTCCAAAAAGACAAAGTGTGACAAGGCCATCAGAGTAGCATGACCTGGCGACCTGTTGCCTCCGGAATACTGCACTGTTATTTCCATTTTGCGCAAAGGTGCAGATCTGAAAGATTCGACAAACTGAGACACAGCAGGTGATACTATTTGCATAGCTAAATATTCGACGGCCGGAAATGGCGGATGAGTCAGGCCTGAGATCCCCCGGAGGTGACTCACGGTCATCCACGTATCCAGTTCCAACGTTTTCAAATTGCGTCGTAAGGCAAGTGAAGTCAATACCTGGTCACAGACCACGTTGTGTGTGCGGCAGAGAAGATGCAATTCCTGGACGCGCGGATTGTTTTCCAACAGGATCAGAAGGTCTTGGGAAGAGATTCCTGGCCCCAACTCTTTCAGGGTGAGCTTCGTTAGTAGGGGACAACTCTTGGGGAGGAGTCCCAGTATAGAAGGCTCAACACCAGTCCCACACAAAGCTAATTCCAGCAGTGAGGGGGCGAGGCATGGAAGAGATGGCGACCATTCCTTCGAGCTGCCAGTCTCTCGGTTAATGGACAGGTATTGCAAGCGCGGGAACGCCAGGCCTTCTAACTGGGAAAGAAACCTTTGTTCGATGGAAAGATGGTAGACGTAAGTGGCGTAGAGCTGACGACGATCTTTAGTGATGTTTGCCAGAGCACGGCACGGAGGAGCCTGCCAAAGAATATTGATTCCACAAGCAAACCATGTATGATTAACTCGGATGACGGCCGCTAAGGCACGTAAGTCCCCGTATAGGTGATTGTTGATTTGTCCCAGGATCTTGAGGAGGCATAGAGCGCGGTTCATTGAAAATGATGCGAAGGAAGATAGAATACAAGAGCGTGCCTGAATGCCCATCAGGGTTGGTGTGATTAAAAACTTCGCGATACAAAGCGCCCAAGGTCCTAGTTATAACACTGTACTGATTACAAAGACACAGCCCCTGAAATAAGATTGGGCCATTTTTCTACCAGGGGCAGGGACATCGCCTGCACGTATCAAAGACCCCCATCTGGCAATTTTTATTGGCCACGGACTATCGTAAATCCTGCTCCGGCTCCCTGCTGCCTCAAAATCTGTTCCCAAGCAGTGCGGGCGGTATGATAGATCGCCGTGTAGATACCTCCCTACAGTACAGCCATTGCTATGCCCCTGCAATTTTGCCCGCCCAAATTGACTGTCTTACCGGGACTTTCAATGGTTACTGAAATCCAGCATGATTTGTTGAGTGTTTCGAGTAGCGGTTTCCACTACTGCTTCAGAACCACGCTGTAAGGCCTAGCATAAAGGTCCCGGGCCACTGCAAATATCCAATTCGATTCAAACCCCATTCCGTATTGAGATAACTTGGAGTTTATATGAAAGTTGAAAAATCAGACAACCAATCGAATCCCCTGCCAACTAGTATAGTTGTTTTGTTTGCATGTGACTGGTGAAAGACAGATCACCGTCCATGAGACAATGAATATTTTCTTGGCATTGCCCATTACAGGGCTGAAATTCTTCCAACAATATCGATCAGGGGCCAAAAAGTTAGTGTATAATTATATTAGCGTGGGCGTTTTCTTCTTTTAATAAAAAAAATAAAAAAACCCAAAAAGCAATATTTTTATTTCATATTTCTTTTCTCAGAGGGAAGTTCCACCTTCTCTCCACTTTCCCTTTCAGTCACTTGTTCATTTTTCCTTTTTCTTTTTTTTGTTCTCATTTTTTTTTCTCTTTCATACCTTCAGGTACGCCATGACGGTTGAACTAGCTTTCATATGTTTTTCCCTTTTGAATACGAAGTACACCGTGTTAATCTGTCATTACGGGAGTGTTTTCTCGCTTTTCTTTTTCAATCCATCCATTAATTGCAAAGTAACAATCGTAACTTGGCCTACCTTGAATTATTCTAGAGCCTCCGTGCTTTTCTTGCGGTTTGGGGCTCGCCTCATACATCCTCGGATTTTTTGTCTCGAATAACAGCTACTGAACCCACTTGCACCCACTATAACACAGACCCATCTTCATGAACATAGGTAGAGCCCATAAAGCGCCGCATTGAGGTCGATTCGCATCCGTCTCACAACATTGTACCCAGCTCTTCTCTTACCCTACTCTCGGGCCACTTCCTGCATTCGGTATGATGCGAATGAATTTTAGCGAGCGTCGCAGCCCTACGCCCGTTGTTTTCCCCATCACATATACACCGGTCACAAAACATGTCAGCAAGGCAAAGAAGGGTAAACGGGTACATGCTTGCGACTACCCTGGCTGCAGCAAGGTTAGTATACTCTCGATCTCTCTATCGGCTCACACTCACTCTCCTTCCAAGACCCTGACTCGAGCTGAGCATCTCAGGCGCCACAAAATAACGCATAATCAGCAGTCTCCATATCCGAGGCGAAGTACAAAAGATGTCAATCAATCTACCTCATCCAAGAGCCTCACCCATGGGCTATCCATGGTGGACCAACTTGGCCCCCGAGCAGAGCGACCTCCGCACACTAAACGCTCCCACAACCCTGCTATCACTGGCTTCAATAACTCAGGTGGCGCCTACAAGCTGCCCCCGATAGCAGCTTTTAAGCCGCCAACCAGACCCGTTACCCCTCTGAGCGTACAGTCGGGCTTTGTTAAAAACGTCTCGTCTCAACCGAGCGGACACCTATCAATCCGACGCCGGCTCACATTCGACAGCCACGTTCCCATCGTATCCGATCCCGGCTCTTTGCCCTCCCCTCTATCGGACACAACACTCTCTCTGCCTTCATCCCGAAGCTGTTCACCTTTCACCAACTGGCCCTCCAAAGAGATCATCACGGACAATATCACATAGGCACTCTTGATGAATACTCCCCTTTAGGATATCGAGACTAACATAGCTGCTAATAGTGCAATGATGTAAGGTTCTACACCGACCAGGCAGATAGCTTCATCATAGCACGAGACTTATACATCATTTGTCCATATGTATCACCAAGCGGTTGAACACATCCAATATAGTGAATGTTTTGTTAAGGAAAACGGATATACTGCGACAAGCATGTCGTCCCCGATGGCCATATTCTCGAGTCTATCCTTCGGACCTTCCAGCCCTAGATCACCCGTATATGCCTACCTCAGGCTGTCAATGCGGTCAACTCACTTTCAATATCAATAATAGCACCCTCACAGAATATTCTAGCTCTTTCTATTCTACTGGAGAGGATTGATGAGATAGGATGTTTTCATAGTTTGAACTCAGGTAGTCCACAGATACGTAATGTAATGGTGGGATTCTACGAATCTACCCTCAGGTGTTAGCTAACTAGCTGTACCGAATGAAAGCTAGAAAATTAGCTACGCATATTTATCGTATATATATCAAGCAGAAGAAGTGTCTGCCAGAATACTCTGACATCTTCTAACAGGTTGACATAGTCGTATCTGGCGATGAGGTCGACTTAGGTGCCGCGGACTTCGTTAAGCTCGGTGCCACTGATTGCGTTGGGCTTAAAACCTGTGTCGTAGATGCAGACCTTGTTGCTCACACCATTGTTGAGGCTGATGCTGAGTTTTCCGACGATGTGGCTTTTTGTGCCACCCCCGCCGCTGCGAGAAGGGATTTACAAGAGGAACCGTCTTCTAATTCTAGCCGCAAATTGCCTGGCCTCCTTTCTTATTATTCCAGTAGACCTCTAGTGTTTGAGTAAAACGCATTTTCCGAGCTTTTTTCACGTGAAATGTGATCAGCAGTTCCCCTAGGATCGCACAATGATGCAAACTTATATAGAGGCATTTCGTATTGCTATCTTAAGGTGAAGTGAGCTCAGCTCTCGGGAAACACGGTCTAAATATAAGAGTAAGATGCACAAAAGGGCCCGTCTCGGACATGGGTCGTATAGATGGCAGTTTGAAGAGCCTGTCGGATAGGAGGACTATATTGCAGGCCGAGGGATTTTCTATCTCTCCTACATACAGTAGTTCTTCCGTTTTCTTCTTCTCCTCTCTGTTCCAATAGAGCGAATTGCATTCCTTTTTCTTGTTGCCTGACCACATAGACCTTCGCATGCGGGATACAGTGGCGAACGCTCGCGCCTCCCATGCTTCTATATTGGACAACCCAAGAAGGTCTTTAGAACCCTAATCACCTCCAACTCCAATCCTAATATAGTTAATTCTGTATTTATCGAACCGTTCTAAGGGTGAATAGAGAACTGCTGTACAAGTCAACACTAGATAGTTAATTGACACATGTAATAACAACCTGTATGGTACGGTCAAACGATTTACTGACAGTGGGCCATTGCTTTAGGTTTAACCCTTCGCAGCAAGATCATGTTATCCCCACCACCAACCTGTGACCGGCGTTCATTGGTGCTACTGTAAGAACGGGCGTAACAATCAAAGCCAATGGCCAGGTTTTCTAGTTTGGGGGCAGCAGAGTCCACCACTATTACCCTTAGCTTCATTCACGTAGCCTGCGCAAGCATACCAGCTCAGTCGCATGCTTCCATACCTCGATCGCTTGACGTGTTATATATTAATCTACGCATAATAATATATTTTGGTTCTCGTCTCTTGTATATAGACCGTATATTGTGATGTCAACCGATTAATGCCAACATTGGGAAGGTACCCGGCATGGTGTACAGACCTATTCCACTCAATCATCCCATGTCTTCCCATAGTATGATAACTGGTCGCTCTCAATCTCAATTATGCCATCTACTATAACAATAGTCAGCAAAACCCAAGCATAGATTGATGGTGTGAGGGAAGACTGAGTTGTATTCATACCAAGACTTATTTCTGTTGTTTTTCAATCACTGAGATCTTTGTAATCTGGATATATTTCTGTATATAAGGTGACCAAGCGACCGGCAAGCTCTGCACATTCGCATCATGCGATGAGCAATCTATACCCGACTACGATTCAATCAATCAACAGGATCGCAAGGGCCCTAAAAATATGCCGATATACTACAACCAGAATCAAAACCGGCTGCACAGCCATCTTCTCCGACATGTACTGAGTGAGCAGCGACAACCGACTCAGCGGACACTGTGCTTTAAGAATGGCCGTCTCTAGATCAACCTATGAAGCGGAAACAGTGTCCCTCGGTGCGGACGAAAGGTCCAAACCGTGACTTGTACAACTACTAACCGGGCCTTACAATTTTTTGGTAAAAAATACCAGACCCTCCACGGGAGGGTCCGCCACCCACTTTGTAGTTGCACCCAAATTGTATATTTTTTCAGGATTCAGTTCCAACCGCCATTTCAACCATATATATAAATGAATTCAATGCATTTTAAATAAGAAATGAATAAAATATCTATTAAATTACATGAATTCAATAGCCATAACCCGCCCCCATTTCTTTTGCATACGTCCATGCCTTCTGATTTGTGTGTTGACCTTAGCCCATTTCCGCTTCCGTTTGGAAGTATCCTCAGCTTCGGTCCATTTATATGCTTTATATTTAATGCTCCTTAATTCACTAGCATTAACAATGCCGGTAGCATGAGCCCTTGCCCGGGTAGCATTATATCTAGCGTGGCGAGCAGCCCCATTAGCTGAAGTCATATCCAATTCGGACCGTAATGTATGCACTAAAGCAGTATGCATTTCAGCACTTTTTGCGATCTTTGCGAGTGCATTTTTGAAGCGGGAAGAATGAGCTTCACTCTCTTTAAGCGCTAAGCTTAATTTTTGCACTTTCTCAGTGGTTTTGGGGGTGCTGAAGTCTGTATAGCCTGAGCTACCCGTTGATGGTGTCGATGGTCGTTAGTAAGGGTCATAATCAACCAAATCCTCAGTAATAAACTTAGAATTGATAGGCCAAAGACCTGTTAACCGAAAGCCGAGTTTGATAGTGCGTAAACGAAATGTTTTTTCCCGGATCGAGGTAATTGCACTAAGGAATTCTTCCTTAGTGAATTTCTGACATCCGGTCATTGTTGCGGACTCGACAGCCTCACTATGCCAATGTTTATAAGCACTGAAAACACCGACATCGAGAGGCTGTAAGAAGTGGCTTGAATGTGGTAATAAAAAGAAAAAAATAATGTTATTCTTATCACAAAATTCACTAAACTGCCGGGTGAAATGTGATTCAAACCGGTCGCATAAAACTAGTCGCTTAACACCACGAGTTCGATGAATTGTCCGTTCATGGAATCTTTGAATCCATTGAAATGCTAAGAAGTCGGTCATATATCCAGAATCGGATACAGCAAGGCATTCATTAGTTTGAATAGCCTCAAACCATCGTAGCATCATCTGTTTACCACTTAAAATAATAAATGGTGGACAGACAAAACCGTCCGCCGAAACTGCTTCCATCACCGTTACAGATTCACGATTTGTGACAGAGCCATTAAAGATTTCACGCTTCGGTTGTCGAGTAATGATCCATTGATCTTTACCGACACCAATTTGAAAGCCAGTCTCATCGAAATTGTAGATATCGCCGGGTAAGATGCCATTTTCCTCGACGATCCGCGTGTATTCTTCAAACCACTTTTCTACTACCCCTTTATCCATTGCTCGGCTTCGTTCAATATCGAGGGCTCGTCGGCGACGTCGGTAATATTGAGGATTGCGTTTCAAGAACCGATGAGTCCAATGGTCGCCGACCTTATGGGGTGGAATTGCGGGATCGGTATGCGCTTCTTCGAGGATTGAATTCGCGGCGACGGTGATTTGTGACTGGTTTATTGCAGCGCCCGCTTGATCGAAGTAATCAATGAATTGGCATAAAGCAGATTCTTGTGCAGAACTAAGCTTCCGACCGTTAGGTTGGCGTTGAAATAGGGATTTTCCACCATTCCATCGATACCGAAGCCGGCCCTCAGGTACGTTGAATTCACGCGTAGTTTTCGTTATATTGGGCTTAGATCGCTGGGATAAAGAATCCATTGATTTAGCAATCCGAATCTCAATTTGGCGTTGTCTTTTGGCATGGTGATGGAGAAATTGATAGTTGAATGTGGTAGGTTGAATTCTGGAAAAAAACTACAATTTGGGTGCAACTACAAAGTGGGTGGCGGACCCTCCCGTGGAGGGTCTGGTATTTTTTACCAAAAAATTGTAAGGCCCGGTTAGTAGTTGTACAAGTCACGGTTTGGATCTTTCGTCCGCACCGAGGGACACTGTTTCCGCTTCATAGGTTGATCTAGAGACGGCCATTCTTAAAGCACAGTGTCCGCTGAGTCGGTTGTCGCTGCTCACTCAGTACATGTCGGAGAAGATGGCTGTGCAGCCGGTTTTGATTCTGGTTGTAGTATAAATTCGGATTTTCAGGTCCTGCCGCGGCTAGCCCACATAAAGAAACGGTGAGCTAAAATGCAATTTACAGTTTACGACGGTTTCTGCAAATAGTGCCTTACATAGCCCATAGAAAATTAGACCAATAGACCACATCAATTTCATGCTGCACTACCGGCGCATCCTTTGAGGGTTGATTGCATAGGGACGGGAAATGCTTCGTGGAGCTGATTGGAGCGTGGAGCTCGCTACTGTCCACGGGGTGGTGGGCGCCCGAAGAAGAAGCCCTCGGCGTTGAATCAATGGATCCTGTCTAGGTAGCCTTCCTTGGATTCAAGGGTCTCTCCGGAACTTGTCAGTATTTGTCTTCGAGGGGCGTAACAACCTTCCAGACCCATTAATGCTACAAGAGAGTAAAGGTAAATAACTCCATGCGTGACAGCAGTAATGCAATGTCCGTAGATCACCTATGCATTTTGTGGAGAATACGCCTCGGATGCTATCGGCATATCATTTTAGCAGACAGGAAGGACGTTATCGCTCAGACTTAGAAAAGCATGCTACCACTCCAGCGATTAGACGCCTTCGGCCTTTTGATTGGATAAATGGGAAGTCGCGGCTCATCTCCGGGCCTGCTTAAGGCTGTTGTTGTGTTTTCTCTCGCACTATGGCCCATTTGCCCGTTTAGCATTAGTCCTACAACAACGATGCTCAATTCGCCGCAACAACACCTGGTTTCTTGACGTGCCATAACATCTGCGTTGGTCGCTGGAATCCCCCGTGGAACCAACCCCGGTATTGACCATCGACAGGCCAATATCCCGCTAATCGCGGAGAAACCAACGTGCGTAGAACAGATTACACGTTTGGTCGTGTGTTTCTTAGGGGCAAAAGAAAAGTTGACCGTTCATCCAACCAGGAGGAATTTTCCATGATTAATTATTTAAACGCAGGCGTCTGCCAAAGGTTCACGGAACTAGCTGATCACACTTTACGGCAAAAGTCCCGATATTTCCGCCCGCTGTCGCCCGCTCTATGAACAAACCAATCCGTAATGATTCCTAATGACATCCCAGTCTATAAGGCCTGCAAGTACGACATTCATATCGCCATTTGTGGATACTGGGCAGGTGATCGAACCGAACCGGCTTGCACAGGAATTTCATTACTAACCATCTAGGAAAAGAGTGGAAGAATATTTGTTAATTTTGTATTATCTCCATTATTTTTCTGTATATTATATTCATGGATGTGCATACTGTACCAATACAGCATAAGCTCATCCTCATAATTAGCCCTACATGTCGGCTTCCCTTGGGTTGAGCTCAGAACGGCCCGAGCCAAATGGCATCGCAAGGAGCGAAAAAGGTGGCAGTAGTGTTCCCATGGGCTGCTCTGGTCTTGTACCCCCGTCATACTTCGTCCTCATAGCCTGAAGCCACATTTAACAGTCCCGCGGGTACTCCACGGCCGCTGATATACTAAAGCTAGTAGATTGCTAGTATGTTTCTGTTCGGATTCTCGTTTCTTTGAAGTAAAAGAATGAGTCGAAACGGATATTATGTATAATTTACGCAACTTTACGGAGTAGTTACTCCATACCAAGAACTAGTTAAGCCGTGGGGGCTGGCCCTGGAGCCTTGTTGGCTTGAATGGGAGATACATACACGTGGTGGGCCTATGGCCATTTGTAACTCAGAAACTCTTAAACCTCACCACCCGCCATCTATTCGTTCCATTCTCGTGATTTTCAATGTTCATCTCCCCTCACATATACCAACCCTGAAGACAATTTTTACCAAGAAATATACACATCTCCCCCGTACCTCGTGAGTAACATCTCTGCCGCTGGACCACCCCGCACTATTCGAGACTAGCCAAACTAATCTCACCTGAATATTTAGGTTCCATCGTCAACATCATTACCATGAGCTTTATTACCCTCACCAGCTCCGATGGGGTTGATATCTCCGTTGGTAAAGATAACTTCCACGCAGGATGCTCTTGACAGTAGCACTGACAGATTCTGAATAGAGCGCACCAATGCTGAGCGGTCCATCCTAATCAAGAACCTGCTTGAGGATCTTGGTGATCTCGGAGAGGCTATTCCCATCCCCAACGTGAGTGTCTACCCCGAAGTAGTTATTATCTAAGACTGGACGCTTACACCTCTTTGTTCAGGTTAACGAGGCCGTCCTAAAGAAGGTCATCGAGTGGTGCGAACACCACAAGCACGACCCTCCCAGTGCCAGCGACGATGACCATAACCATCGCAAGACCACTGATATTGATGATTGGGATCAGAGATTCATGCAGGTGGACCAGGAGATGCTTTTCGAGATCATCCTCGTACGTTTCGTTTTAGACTCGCTCCTCGACCAATATACTGACTGCTCCTAGGCCGCCAACTACTTGGATATCAAGGCCCTCCTTGACGTCGGCTGCAAGACAGTCGCCAACATGATCAAGGGAAAGTCCGCAGAGGAGATCCGCAGGACCTTCAACATCCAGAATGACTTCACTCCTGAGGAAGAGGACCAGATCCGTCGCGAGAACGAATGGGCTGAGGAGTAAGTTGTTCCAACAGTATCCGTATAGAATTTATGTTGACATTTCTGCTCTAGTCGCTAAATGACCATCTTTTGTCTGCGTTTTTTGTCTGCGTTTTTTGTAAAAAAGAAAAACAGAAAATGACTTCCTCCCGACTGTTTACGACAATGTGCAGCGTAGCCCTTTATGCCTTTTTATGTCTAGTAGGGTGATTATCCTTTGGGCGTTTAATTTGCTCGCCGTCAGAGTAACACACAGATCCAATCCAGGATAGGCCAACCACAGACACAATAAGTCAAGATTTCATTTAGGAAAGTAAAAAAAACCGACGATGGCCGTTAATCAAGTCCCCATAGAAGACAAGAAGAGTCGAAATACGGTTAGGGTCATCAAGAGCCTGACGTATATTTTGTCCTTCATTTCCGACGCTGCCGTTCGTAGTATGATACTAGACACTCAACCAGGAGTTGACTCTAGCACGCTCACTGGTGCTTATGGTTTTCGGAGAGAATACCGCTTCCACCTCTTCCTTCCCTTTTACCTCCCCAGTTGGGCATAGTTAAGCAATCTCACCATTGAATATCTGAATCGACATCTAAGCCTTCTACACTTGCCTCTCAAATTGCTAAATATACATATACTCAAGACAAACGATACCAGCCGGTATAACCGATCAAGTCGCAAGTATAAGTTTATCACTAATGAATGTTTCAATCATGCTCTTAGTTACAGCATAGATCGAAATCAGTTTCACCACTTTGTTCACATAGATTCTTTCTCAAACCCTAGTTAAAAACATGCTAATCCGTCTTTGATTTAGCTCCTTTCAATTACCGAAATGGCCTGTAACAGCAGAGTCACATGATTAATAGACGACACCCAACTTTTCGCATCGCTCGTCCGCTCCAGGATCACACTGACCCCTTCATGGCTGAATTACCGCTTACTGATCCACAATCCTGGGATCGAATTAGGGCTGTTGACGATATTGCCGATATACCGATATTGACGATACGATATCGACAGGCGATACGATATCGGCTGCTTTTGAATTTGTCGATGCCGATTGCCGGTACAATATCGGCGGGCTTCAAATTTGACGATATCGCCACTCACGATATCGTCATATCGTATCGGCATCGGCACATTTTTCCTTTAGAATCATCTAGAGAGCGAACGGGCTTTCGTCGAACAGCAGTTTTATTTGACACTTTATGAATGCAGAACCGGAATATCGCGATGGCATAATTTAACCAAATCCCTTGACCGCTACCACTTATACCCATCGCGAATCAACATCAGCATTCTTAAGGTATCCGCTTTCAAAGAATATCTCCTGATGCCTAGCACATCCCTCGCTGTACTAAAGACTCTCTCAACAGCAACTTCAGAAGCAGGAATTGCTAGATAGTCCCTGGCTGCTGCGGCCATCCGCGGATATTCGCCCTTGCGCATCTTCCACCAATTACAGAGCCAGTTCTGGCCGGTGGTATCTGCGACGCTGATCGGAGGGGTGTCGAAGTACTTATCAATATCTGAGAGCGGTGGATCTCGCGCCTGCAACTTCTTCAGCATCCTAGACCCCACATCGCTATGCTGCAGGAAAGACAATTTTGATGCAGCGGCCTCATGCTCCAGGTTACTAGCCGCGTATACCTGATATAGATTGGTGCGGATCGTTTCTAGAATAATTGTCCCTGCATTACCATCTTGGATTCCCGCAAGACCATTTCACTTTTGACTCGGGGACCTGAGACGAGGGCAGTGTAGTAGGTATCGCAGTCATCTAGAATAGAATTGTACTTTTCGTATTTCTTCATCCCTTCTTTCACTGCAGCTATGATATCTCGATCCAGTTTTGCGAAGTCATCATTGCCCTCCGTCACGTCATCAAGCAATTCGTATAGCTCATAGTAAATCGGGACTGCGTGGCTGATTTGTGGATTGCGTTTTGAAATGAACAAAGTAAGCTCATTGAACTTATGGAGTACTGTGTGAATCTGTTCCAGCCGTGACCAATCTTGGAGAGTGAACGGCGGGAGTTCCTCCTGAAGGTTTAGGAACTTGTTGACTTGTTGCCTTGACTTCAAGCCATCATCGACCATTAACATCGTACGCAACGAATTTGTCGGGAAGATTGTTGAGTCTGCAAATCTCCTTCCATTTCTGTCGGCGCTGAGGACTTCGGTTAATCCAAAGAGCGAGGACCCGTAATCTCCCTATTGCTGAGTGATCGGAGATCGAGTTACCAGTCTGTAAACAGTCACAGGCAACTTGCGCCTGCTCCATCGTCCCTGGCCCTAGGTTACGGAGGATATCTTCCACAATCAGATTGAGGACATGAGCCAAGCAGCGGATGTAACTGTCAAGACCTCGATAGAGTGGTTCTGGCATGGCGTCTTCCATCCTAGGTCGGTCGGAAAGAGAGAAATATAACTCCGATGCCATGGCCTCATTGTTACTGGCGTTGTCGCCTGTAATGGAAATGAGCTTTTCCTCGAGACTCAACTCAATAAGCATATTTTCCACTGCAATTGCCAGATTTTCTCCACTATGAATGCCCTGGAGTTCGGTGAACTCGAGTAATCTCTCGCGGTACTCAAATTCGTCAGTCAGCCAATGACCTATTATCCCTAAAATAGGAAGATGATTCTGGCTTGTCCAGATATCCAGTGATAAGGCAATGGTTTTGCAAGTCAAAGTCAGCTCATTCTTCAGGTTGGTGCGCTGTATGGCGAACTCTTGCATGATTCGATCCCGCAAGGTGTGGCGAGAAGTGAATGGAGGCTCAATCCCAGGAATATCTCGGAACATTTGCTGAAACTCTGGAGACTCGACAGTGGTGAAGGCTTTCATATCAGTCACGATCCAGCGAATGGCATTCCTTTCCAAGACCTCTTGATGGGTGAGACTCTGTTTACCACCCATAAAACTCCGAATGTCTGGTCCCTTCTTCGCTGGCTGTATACTGGAGGTCGGGCAGTAAATGTCATGCTTTGCCAAGTGGGTTTTCATGTTGCTGGTTGTGTTTTGCCTTTGGGAACCTGACGTATGCCAGTCACAGCGTGTTCCCGTTTTTTCATCTACATGCATACAGCAAATCTCTCGGTCGACCAGCCGCCTCTTGTTGGTCCTCTTGATAACCCATGGACAATCAACGGCTGTAGTCTCGAAGTACTCCCAGATCCACTCTGTAGCCGGCGCTGGCCGTTTGCACCATCGAGAGGATACGTGGTTTGTGATTGAAGTACCAGCATCTGTTGAGCTCTCTTGGGATACTAGCACTTGCGACACAGATTCGGAAGGTAGGAGCTCGCAATCTGGTATGTTGGCGAGGATCACCGCGTCTTTTTGACAGGTTGGGAGAGTACGTGTGAGATTTCTCAGCGGCTCGCTTGATTCGCTTGATTGGTCGGTTTGATCCTCGGGCAAAGACTCTCCATCGCTCTCGTCATTCAGAACTCGGTAGTTGAGGCGTTTCTGCCGGGTACGCATTTTGTGTTGGATACACCGGGCCACTGGTGTAGTGTGGATGAATACGACTTGCTGATCACAGCTCACTGTCGATGTAGAACCAGGGTTGAAGAGTCATATGTGGCGATGGTTAGTTTCTGGAAGAGCTTCACTGTCAACGAAGAAGAGGTCGGGGCACGCGTCCCAGTCTCTCAGACGCGTCGCGTCTAAATAGAGTTGAACCATAAAATTGGATTGAACCCTTATGACCTCTGGATATTCTGCCATATAACATAACGGAAGAAGGAAGGCATAGCCATAGAATAGAACAGGTAATATGATAGTATGTGGGCAGTAAAAAGCCAATGACGTAAATATATATATACGTATGCGCAGAGGGATGGAAGCAACTTAGAAAGGATTAGACATGTACTTTGCAATAGCAGAGTTAGTTGATAGGACGGGAGAGCAACATAAAATATATAATTATCAAGCGACACAGTACGGCAACAACACAACGTAGGACTACATAACGGAAGCGGATTGCCCTAATTAACGTGTATCTAAGCTTACATTCTCTTTGTAGTAAAGTCTGCTATATCCAGGACCAGGAGCTATTCTCTTATTGCCCAATTACCGGTGACGATGTATCGCCGACGATAATATCATTTGCCGATATCGTATCGACAGTTTAAGAAAATGTCGATGTCGATTGCCGATACGATATCGGCAGACTTCGAAGTTGACGGTGCCGATTGACGATATGGGAAAACAGTGCCGATATCGTATCGTTAACAGCTCTAGATCGAATTGTCCAATTACCCTAAACTGCGCATTTGCATCTGCGACTCGCCACTTTAATCGTTGCTACTTATTTATTACTAATCTAAACCCAGGCTCCTTAGCTGTGGCGAAGTCTGAGCGGGTTACGTGAGTCACATTATAAATAAACCTATTTCCCAAGCCGACTCCGTCTCTTGACAGTATTTCCTGCTAACCGACAATATTCAAGCTCCGTCAAACCCACCCCATCTCTGGTTTTCCGCAAACGCTATGCCGCCCCCGGAAGGATTTATACAGATCAATGATCTTCTTCCGCATCTATCTTTGCTTGGTCAACTTTTCAAATTCGATAGCGACAATGGTCAATCAATGTTTCTCGGAGAAATTCCAGATGCAACTTCCGCCGAGAATCCCGAGATGTGTCTGAAGAAAATATCGCAAGATAGAATATTATGTCAAATAATTTTTATCGCCCTAGACGAAGGTGCAAAGATATATATGGTGGCAGGGAAGTTGGCAGGGCAGAAACGCTATCATGAACTTACATTCGAATGGATAGACGTTCGACCTTCATGCGAGGTTACTTGCGAGTGGCACGATAGATTTGGATGGGTCCCTGTCGACGGGCTTGATGAGAACTATAAAGAGCAAGGTGGATGGATGATGAACCCAGCCGTCTTTGCGGGAGAAAATCCCTTTGTTTTGATTCCGCGACTTGAAAAGGAAACGGATGGTGCGATTTTTGTGCAAGCTATGTCGGAGGGCAACTGCGAATCTTCTTGATCTTCTGTCTCGTTGCGCTCGGCAAAGGACCCTCAATGCATACGATCGGTCGATTTGGCCTAAAAATCATACAGGCTTGATCAAGAATCTATTGATATACTGTAATTTATAACTGTATGGGAATACTGCCAAGAAAAAGGTCAGAGGTAATGTAAATATAATGGGTATAGCGTGTTTCAAAAGAGGGTTAGAGAAAGAAGCTCTGTGTGTTGGTGGTGAAACTGATTTCCATCCATCCTGTATGAAGTATCGGATCAGTCGTTTTCTTGGCCTTAGCTTGGCAAAACCAATCTCTCGCTATCAATTAGGGCGAGGGATGGTCCTATTCTCCGTAGCTGTCAACGTATTTCCTGTATATACTACTTCCAACTGGAGCATCATTATGCTTGCCACCTTGTTTAACTTTTCTTACGGTATCTTCGTGAGATTATCCCATCGACACCAGGGTGTATGTGCAATCAATGTTAAGTAAGACTACACTGAACGTAAACGACAATTACCCTCAACCCACCACTACGCGATTGTCACATATAATATCGTCTCTGAGAAGACGTGCCAAAAGACGCAACTATATAATAATATTAGCAGTATATGCACTATACGTAGCTTCCAATTTGATCGCAAACTACCTTCAAACTTGCCTATATTTCACTATGCAAAACTTTTGCATAGTGACATACTCCGAGTATGTCAACAAAAGAGGGTTGCAATTTTACTAGTGCGCCCAAGGAATATTCAGCACCCCTATCTGCCTGATGATCATAAGGCTCTCAACGACCTTACTAAGCTCATCCCCTATTTATTCTCCACTTTCTATAGTATATAAAAAACACTATCAAGTACTCAATTGGCTACGCCCGTAACCGTGCCAAGCCCACCAACACACTACCCGTGATTGGTTGGCTTGGCACGGTTAATATGTAGAAATGGAAGAGAGTCTTAGAGTAGTACGCTCATTGCAGCTAGCAGCCTCTTCCATCTGCGGTATAGATAGTTCCCCACTGCGAAGCATGTATAAGCTCATGCCTTGAAGGGGACGAAGGCTTCCAAAGTGGGGGGGGGGGGTATCGAGGTGTCAGGTGTATCAAATTACAGGCTCATACACCCACTAAATATCCAGATTACTCTACGTATGAAACAATACAGGGCCCACTGATAGGGATACTCCGGAATAATTCCTGATATAAACTAGTCTATCTTGGCAATTAGGGTTTGAGAAAGAATCGAAGAGTGTAAGTGGTGACACCAGTTTCGGGAAGTATTGTACCAATACGCCGCCAGCCCAGGCAAATCCCACCCATTCCGCCCGCTACTCACACGGGAGAGGGCGTTCATCCGTGGTACCATCACCGCTCAGTGGGAGCAGGAATGGAGAACATCTAGTAAAGGCGGTCATCTGCGGAAGATCGACGATACTCTACCAGCGACGCACACCAGGAAGCTGAACGGAAGCCTACCCAGGGGCCGGGCGTACCTGCTGACGCAGCTGCGCACGGGCCACAATTGGCTGTCCACCTACCGCAAGAAGATTGGCTATGGCGACGACGACCACTGCGAATGCAGCGCGCAAGAAACAGTTACTCATGTCCTTGTAGACTGTTCAAGACTGACGGAATTGCGGAGGAAGCTAAGAAGAGAAGTGGGAGACGCGCTCAATAGCGTGTCGAGTCTGCTGGGAGGCTCAAAACAAGGTGAGAAGGTAAACCAGACACCGTATCGCGAGCCAGGACGGTCCAGGCCGTGCTGGACTTTGCGGAGGCGTCACAACGGTTTCGCAGTCGCGCGCCACGAGGGCAGGCTAACAATGTGAACGGCAATTAGGCCACGGCAGGCCTTGACGAGGCTCTAAGTTCGGTTTTAGGAAGTGGATCACTCTACATGTACGTAAAGGGATATAGTTGAGGTAGCCTGCATATCGCTTTTCATTGCGAGGGTTCAGGGTAAATGAAACACACACACACACACACATACTGTACCAATGATTCACTACGAGTTTGGTCCCGGTGATGCACGGGATTCAATCATGGTTGGTACAAATGATTGTAGTAATTTGTTTTCAGAAATCCAGTGATATTCCCTAGTTAAAGATCTGCAACGCCTGTGGAGCAAGACCGACATAAGCACTCCTGATTATTCTCCCCAAAATAATGTGTTCCATAAAAGACTGTAATCTCATCTCCTACGAAGATATCTTTCATTGCCACGATGCGTGCTCTTGACTTCTCAGTTCGCACAATTTCAGAGTTTGCCTCGCAGTCATGGTTTACGAATCGGGCAGGCCCTAGAAATATCGCATCTGCTCCAAACCAAGAGGATTGAAGGATACTGAAGTCTTTACCCGAGGTTTCTAGCTGTATCTCTTCTTTCTTTGTCAGAGGCACACAGACCCCGTTGAGGAATTGGATAGTTTTCCCCCTCCGAAATGAGCGCGTTGCAAAAACGCCAGCCTCCCAGTCTATGCCAGATAGATGTTCGGACTCGGCAATTCTGAAAGGACATTTGGGATCATAGATTCGAAGATAGCTCCGAAGCTGTCTGCTGAACCACTTTGATTGTGAATTTGACCTCTCGTTGGACATTCTATATTTCTCCAAGTAAGGCATTTGTAAAATTTTATGCTGAGCTTCCTTGATATTGAACGATTTGTCATCACTGAGGCCACTGAGGACTTTAGACACATCTTCTTTATTGACGTGCCGAAGTGGGCAATACTTTGCGGAACTCTTGCGTGTGATTCCCGGAAAAGTCACTTCTGGAAGTTTCATTCCATCGATAACTAGGTCTATCACAGCATCATCCATTTCCGCTAGCAACGCCGGAGTGAGGTGCTCGGCCTTGCTTTGGGCAGTACAACAATGCCGGTTAGTCACTTTCATTGGAACAATGGTATATCTAGAGAGTGAGAGCCTCAGGGGAGACTTCGGGTGTAGTATGTCAAGGTTGAAGAGGCTTTAATCACACTGAATTGGATGGAAATTCCATTTTTGAGATTTCCCAACTTAAACCATCTGGCCCACCATCTTAAGAGATGAATAAATGTTCTATTAAAAAAGGTATTACTAGCACGGCTTCCAATGGGAAGCAGCAAATGCCCCCGGGGGCTTTTTTGGGGGGGTTGTTAATTTCAGCACAGGATTTATCTAAAAATGACAAAACCACGATGGTTTAACAATCTGCGCGGACATGATGACAAACAGTAATATGCGCTTTTGTATGGTATGCTTCGTACATAATTTTGAGATTTCCTTCAGGGCCAGGAGCTGAAGCTTAATTTGATTGTCAAACAACGTCCATTTGTTCGTCTGAGGACTCCATCAAAACTAAATGCTAATTCTCAACCATGCCACGGGCTAGGAGAGCCAATTTCGTTGGATAAAGGCACCTTTTTGCGTTTCTCTTCCCACCAATCGCAAGTAACCATGACCGACTCGTAAATTTTGTCGAAAACTTATAGCTACATTGCAGCCAGAATATTCGTTCGGAGAGCCACTCCGGCTTTCATATCAATTTAGTCCGTCATACTCGCTTGACGGGACTGATCCAATTACTATTCAGTCGCCCTTCCGACACGTTTCCCTCTTACCGCAAGCACTGCTTGAAAAGCGAGAGACAGCGAGTTGGTACACAGCGTATGAATTTAGGTACATATATCGACGATTTTTGTTGCCTTCCACGTCGAAATTATGAAAACCATTTACAAACCATAATTATACAGTATTAGACTTGAGATTCTAGAACGCGTTTAGATTGACTGCGATAGATTGAAATTTTTCTCACGACCTTCACGAGACCAGAAACCTTAAATATTTAGATAAATGTGGCCCGATTGCGCCTACGAATTAGGTAGTGCACAGTCACAGCCGAAGTTGTTGTCAAGCATAGGGCTAAGAGTGGACCAAATAGAGAATTGGAGATGGAAGCGGCAAGGCTTACGAATGACGTTTAATGTTTAGTTAGTTCTTCAGAGTGCCTGTGACTAATCGGGATCGCAATAGTTAAAGAGTTGGAATGCCATATTTATGCTCTTGGAAGCCATTCTCGTGGGCTTCATGTCGTCCAATCCATGTTCGGGCCACCCAGGGGATGCCTTTGGACTTTCGGCGAATATCCAGGCTTATTTTATTCACCCTTGAAAGGTCCCTTCAGGTCAAAGGCCACCAGTGTTACGAACTTCTGCTTGTACCCGGTCGATTGCCTTGGCAAACATCAGGAGGGCTTGCTCTGTTGTTCGTGCCGGGCGCCCTCCGATTTGAGTATCCGGTAGAAGACCGTAATATTCCCTTAAGAAGGACAGCCGCCGGGCCGATGTTTTCCTGGTTTAGTAATTTACAAGCGCTACATCGAGCTGTTAGACTGCTGGATACATGTTGCTATCTATCAAGTGCTGCCTTCGAGCACTGTTCAGTACTCACGTACCCTGGCTAGACCTCGCCAAAATCCGTCCAAGTCCGCCCATGGGCGGACTTGGATCGGACCCACTTTGGACTGGGCGATAGGTGTCCGCCCATGGACTACCCAAAGTGTCCAAAAGTGTCCAAAACCGCCCAAAAATGCATAAATCTGCCGCATAACCTGATGATTCAGCAGAATAAAAAACGGTTATTTAAACTAGTCATAGTCACTACAATCCTTTTGCCGTAGCAGTTGTTCTTCGGTCATTTAGATTTGTTGAAATTCTCAAGTATTTTGGTTCACTTTATACGGAACAATGATCTTCTCTCTTATTTGCGACTATTTGGTATGTATACAGTCTTCTGTGACTTGAAGCTATTTTAGTGAGAGAAATATATATCTCGTGGGTGCACCTCATATTTCATTCATTCCTAGTTCCTACCATTATTGGGTGATTGCAGGTTCTAGTCAAATACCCAAGAAAAACAGCCTACACATCTAATTCATTAATCAAATTAGTTATATATACCATTACTATCAATAAGAGGTTGAAAATATCATTTGTGGAGAGTAAAGACTAGAAAGCATGAGATAGCAGTAACTTAATGAGATGCCCAAACTGTCCTTTATAAATTTTCCGGGTATTTGGGCGGACTCTGGACAGTCCAAAGTCCGCCCACGCTAAATATGCATGTCTCCCACCACCATATCCAATCGCAATTCATAGAAGTTGGAGGCCATAGCGTTCATGCGCGATGTATCAGATTTTATTTCTTTAGGTAGACAGACGGTCATAACCGGCAAAATCACCCAAATCTATGAGATTCAGGGAGTCTTTTCTTTCTTTTCCCCCATAAAAACCCCATACTCTTGGATCATGTCTCAAGACACCGACCTCGCCTCGTCGTCTTTCCACGGTAGCTACGGTCTAGACCTCTTTCCGTCTGACCTAGAGTCCAGTCAGCAAACCATTGAATCAACACCAGCCTCCGAACTATTACATCCTATGATCTCCTCCTCCCTTGAGCGATTTGGAAACGACTGGATTGTTTACTCCGAAATGAGCAAAGAGAATTTTATTTTCTGGTGGCTTCAAACTATCCACGGAAATGAGCTTCGTGAAAGGAATAAGAGCTTCTGGGATCGATCCCGAAGTCATTCAGAGGCATGGAATAGCTTTAAGCAGGTAGCTCATACTGTGACTGGGGACCCAAAGATAGTATGCCAAAAATGCGGTCAGCTTCTTGATCATCCAAGCCGCAAGTTGAATGGAACTACCCCAATGGCAAGGCATCTCAGAGGAGAGAAGTGCCAGAGACTTAGCAATCGGGTTGCCGGAAATAGCTCTCTTCAAGAACTTTTTGCCCGCCAGGTAAGGAATACACTGGAAGGCAAAAGGTAGATTGCCTCGATATTGATGTCTATCGTTTATGAACAGGCGCGCGATTATCCAGCCCACGAGAAACGCGAGTCTTTTACAAAAGAACTATGGCAGCAAGATATCCTCACAGCTATTACTGGTCTACGACTCCCTTTCCTGATCATCGAAAACCCATTATTCCAGAGGTTACTTCAGCGAGCCCAGTCGTCCCCTTTGCCTCTTGAGTTCCCTTCGGCAAAAACAATACAGTGCCAGCTTCGAGATACAGTTCAGGAAAGACACCAATGTGTACTCAAGAAGCTACCCGCCGAGGCCAAAATGTCTATTGCACTAGACTGCAGGACCTCTCCTTTTCAACAAGCATTTATGGCTATCACTGGCTACTTTATTGATGATAAATAGAAATACCGTGAGCTTCTCCTCGAGTTTGAACCACTTCATGGATCCCACACTGGCGTTAATCTTGGTACCGTTCTTTTTGAGGTTCTTCAGCGATATCAATTGGTTGAACGAGTGTTGGCTGTGACAACAGATAACGCTTCGAATAACCAAACGTTAGTAGGAAGAGTGCATGAGCAATTGGAGTCGCTTAATATCAGCACTACAACACCGATTATCCGAGTTCCATGTATTGCTCATGTTATTCAACTGAGTCTCAAGAGCCTTCTCGGTTATATGAAGCTTGAACCAGTGAATGAGGCTACACAGAGAGAATGGTCTGAAAACCAGTCCCAATCCCTCCGTGCTAGTCAAAGGAAGGGTATAATTTCTACCCTTAGCAAGGTTAGAATCCAATCCTCTCGCAAAAGTTAACACTAACTAATTTTACAGGTTCGGGGCCTAGCGGTTTTTATTAACGCTAGCCCTCAGCGTCGTGATACATTTCGAAGTCTCCAGATTGAAGGCTCAAAGCTTTTGCCAATCCAAGATGTCAAAACCCGCTGGAACTCTACTTTCCTGATGCTTCGACGCGCAAAGAGACTACAGCTAGTGTTTAACAAATACTGCTCTGAGAATCAGTATGCGCAGTTCACGTTAGATCGGGACGAATGACGACAAATCGACTACCTACTGTGTTTGACCCAACCTTTTTTCCAATTTACCACTATTCTCTGCCAAACCAAAGAGGTGACTATCCATATCGTCTTCGAGATCTATCACTCTCTTTTTGGGCATCTTGAAAAATCGATACACCAACTTCAACAAAAGAGGGTCCCTTGGAAGCAATCAATGCTTTTTGCAATTCTGGCGGGAAAGGAAAAGCTTGCAGCTTATTATGGTAGCACGACTAAAGCCCATGGTGATCTTTACGCGATTGGTACAATACTTGCACCACAGCACAAATTGCAGTTCTTTTCGCGTGATGAATGGGCAGAGAATAAGTTCGCATCGCGTGAGAGATATCGACAAAGTCTTAAAGACTATGTTCGACCCTATCACGAGCGAATGTCCAATAACCAAGCATTCTCAAATAGCCAGGCATCATTGGATCAGGGTTCACAGCTCGCAACACTCATCGCGCAGGTCGGTTCGAACCGAAAGCCACTACCTCGCCACAATAACGAGGTTGAGAATTACCTTGAGAGTGGTAAGTCTTTACCCGGTTTGATTCTAAAGTGAATGTAGCTAAACTGAATTATCTAGGCACTACTTCAATTGATCCATGTTCCTTCTGGAAAGGCCATCAGCACGAATTTCCGATGCTCGCAAGCGTTGCACGAGATGTTCTATCTATCCCTGCAACAGGTGCGGGCGTTGAGCGATTGTTTAATTCTGCTCGGGATATCTGTCACTATCGTCGAGGATCACTGAAGCCTACAACGATACGGGATCTGGTAATGTATATGTGTGCAACTAAGTTTGACCTCGGGGAGGAAGAACTAGAAACCTTTAGGCAATCCTTCTCGAGGGAAGAGAGAGAAACGGCGGATGAAGAGAAGGATGCCCAGCATCCACAAGAAAGCCTTGATCCTATCAGCGATGACGAGGAGGATCCACGGATTGAATCTAGGGAAGTTGAAATCAATGCATATGTGGCTACTGGGCTTAATTCTGGCCGGGAGCAGTTGGATCTTTTACAGGGTTCTTCTAGCGAGGGAGAAGAGGTTTTAGGAATTACCAGAGGATCGGGTGATGATGATGATGGTGAGCATCCTTTACCAAGGGATCACTCCCTAAAGCGCTCATCAGGGAGAGTATGTAGACCTTCTAAACGTTTGAGGGGATATGATGTATATTAAGAAACAAGTTCCACAATCTAGAACACACAAAGGAATACGCTCACAAATACAATGGCAGCTACAAGGATTTATCTACAGGCGTAAACTAGATACCGTTAAATACAGCAAATTTTACATAACTCTATGCACATTACAATGTCCCCACTTTTGACCCATTGGACTGTCCAGGACGTCCAGGTGGGCGGACGGGGGCCCCTCGGCCCGCCCACTGGACACCAAAAGGTGTCCAAACCCGCCCATGGACCGGTTTGGACATGTCCATCGATGGGTCAATTGGACTTTGGCGAGGTCTAACCCTGGCTGGCTGCTGGGCTGACCGCTTATAGTCAACTTTCCAGACAGAGGCAGGAAATCCTTTTTGGTAGCTTTCTTCGCAGATATCGATTTTATCGTTTGATCTACCGTGGTGGTAAACCGGGTCGCCCGTATGTACTTTGAGCTTGTCTATATGGACTCATGTCACTGAAGCTCTCCAGGGCTAGATTTGGGAGAGGCATAAACCTCTCAACAAGTCTGTAATAAGATCACATAGGTCCCCAAGGCTGTGCTCATATTCATGATACTTTTAGCCTCGGATTCAATTACGGTCCTATGATCAGCCAAAGAAATTTCCAGTGCGGGTAAATCTAGCTTTTGGCATCCTCCATGAATATATACAACCCCAGCTCGTCACGTACTTTCCGGTCGTGCCGCTCTCGGAGCATCGCAATTTCTGATCACCACTGGAGTGCGAGTGTTGTGGATATCATTACGACTGAAATTATAACCAATATATATCTCGATTTTCACAGCGTGAGATATTGCCAGCCATTGTGCTGATGGATTTCCCAAAATCCAGTCTTCGCCAGAGGAAAATCCGAGGCAGCTTTCAGTCAAACCAGGGCCTCAAGGAGCCCCACTTACGTGGTAGCAAACCAAATCTCGGTGCGAAGAGCCTGGGTACAAAAGGCCACCGAGACAAACCTCTGCCCCTTATACCAGGTGTTGCAGACCCTGTGAAATTACTTCATTCTAACGAAGAGAATGGTGATCTGCACGGTGCTTTTATAGATGGAATCGAGCTGCAAGATCTGCGTCAACAAAACCAGGCATGTACCGAAGCACCTTTGGAAGACGACAGTGAGAATGAGTCCGACCGTTGGCCACTGCTCTCAAATCCAAGCAGATGTAAAATTAAAAGTCACCGTATCTTATCTCGGTACCGCGAAAGCTCAATGCGAACGTGCTACCACCGAGTAAGGGCTCTAATTATAGAGAAGTCTCAGCACATAGCAAGCATTTCACACAACCTCCCATCATCCTGCATGCTGTGGCGTGTCAAAAACATGTTTCTGAGATATAATCGGATTGTCCACCCGCCAATATCGAGGTACATCGGCGAGCAGGAGTTTTGGATATTGCTCGAGAGGTTTTTCGGCCTTGTACCGCTTCCGCCACTATTTTTACAACATCTCCCAGCATCTGATGAGATTTTATATGCTAAAAGCTATCTAAGATCAAAGCCAACCCCAGTGGAGCATGGCAATAGGAGAGATGACGGAAGGGACTTGGTTAAAGTTTGCACAAGGTTGACGGAATTGGTCTTTCGTAATAGTGATAGCAAAAAGATTTTCCTTGGGGTGGATCCAGCGGCCCATTCTCAGATAGCGGATACATCTTGGGAAACCTTCCAGGGTTTCGGGCTCGTCCATCGATTTTGCAGCGAGTTAGGGCTACGGCAACTGGATTTCGATAATTTTGAGTCTCAAGAAGCGTGGCTTCAGGTAAAGTCTGCCTTTTCTAAACAAAAGGAAACAAAGCTACGGTACTAACGTCATTTAAGACACAAAGTATTCCTTTCCGAAAGGGCCGGTGTATGTTGCAGGTTTGGGGGTCTTTACGTTACTTGCTGTTAATAGGAAGACAACCTGATCCGGCTCAGATAATGAGAGGCGGGCTGCGCCAGATATACCAAGCACTTTTGACATCTGATGTCAAGGCCCCCGGACCCCAACACATACATTTAGTCCATTTTCAGACAAATCTGCCACGCGTGGGCGAGCAATGTGCGTAAGTGGTGTGGCCTTGGACTGTTACATGGGCTGTTATTTAACGGCGTGCGTTGTCGTCACTCGCGTCCCCACCGAGTTTTCACCGAGGATGCTGATCTATAGTCCATGACTTTTACACTTTTGGCGTATTCCAGTCTCCGGCTTCCGCCTGCAGTCCCTATTTGACGGAAAATATCTTACGAATCATACCCACATACCACAGTTTGATGATCTCTCACCCCAAAGCCACCCTTTTGAGGATTCTATCGCCTGCAGTGTATGGGCGTGTAGGCCTTCTGCTCGAGGCTATGCCCGGAGTAGTAATATTCTTCAACTGTGCCTCGATTGGCAATCGTTCGCCTGTGCTCTTTGTCGCAGTAGCCTAGTTCCCAATTGGAATGCCCTGAGTCGGCCGCCTTGAACTATATTACTATCAGGGGTGTAAATAGAGCAACGTGTGGTTCTTAAATCTTGACAACGCGGGCATAACTAGGCAAGCCTGAAAATCAATTAGCTACGAACAGAATTCAACGAAATCTCTATGGTGTGCCCACATTCGAGTGAGGGGACTGGCGTTAAAAGAGTGGACGTATATACGCTCTGAAGCACGGGGTAAATGAAATCCATCCACCATCCACTGTACATATGGAAACAAAGAACTGGGCAGTAACAGGAGGATTGTTCAACCTACCATCTACGAACAATTACGTACACTATTGGCAGCAAGCCGTGTTAACAGCCAAGAATGTTTATGGGCCAATAGCAATTATGCTCTCATAGGCCCTAAAGCCGTCGTCAACGATGACCAATCTGAATATCTTTTGAAAGCAATCAATTTCCTAAATAATCCGATTCTTCTCCGCGCACATCTGCCAGAACAACTGCACTTCGCCAATATGCCCAATAATTTCATGTCATCGTACAGAAACTTTGCGCGAAAATATGGAACCAACCATAGGTGTACCATTTTTACACGTTTTCAAAGCCGGCCGAGCCAAATAGACAATTCTTCGCCTCATTAAATTGCCCATGCCTCCAGCGTCAGCAGCTTATTCAATACCGTGGGATCATAGTTCTACTGTAGTTCTTCAACACAACATCCAAGCATCAAATTCTGAAGGCTCCACTGCCACAGCCGTTCGTTGTAAATGCCTGACTTTATTGAGGGTTGAGGGTACTGCTACGTTGGTCAAAGTGTGTCATTGCTATGATATATTTAGAAGGGAAGAGCTTTCCACTGCAAATTCTCTAGTTCTTGAAGCTTTTTCCCCACAATAAAATCGATGCCGCGACATCAACGTTTAAATGGAATTTCTTTAAACTGTTCCTTATTTTTTTCGTCACTTTCTCAATTGTTTAATAGGCTATCGGTTAAGCCAATGTCTTACAGTAGAGTTCGAAAACAGTTTACCCCCCAGACACTCACGCTTTGCTTCTCGGGCCGTACCCGAAACAACACTAATCTATATTAGGTAACGGTGTAAAATAATGGTCGCTATAAACAGCCGTGCCTAGATTTCTGGACTATCACGTTACGTATCATTACGTATTTTACAAGAAATCCCTATACACTTGCACCTTCCTACCCCTGAACACCATGACTTTTTTCTCCTTCGCACCTCTTTCTGAGGACTGCTTGAGATTTTTTCAGACCCTAGCGCCAAGGCAATAGCGAAACCGCCTATTCTGGATTCGGCTAGCTAGTGGAGTATCCCTGTATTTCTGTGTGATACTGTAAAATATTTGACAATACTAATACCCCACGACCTCCGTAATCATGTGTTCTAATAATCCTAGACTGCTCATGCCCCTAGAAAAAGCTCTCAATACTATGATCGTGTTCAGGGGCCGCAGGATAGCCGTAGGCCTCACGAAATTTAGGATGTGCTCCCAGGACGGCAAAAGCATTACTTTGTGAGGCTTGGCAATTATAAACATTGTTCATTCCTGCAAGGCAAAATCAAAATAATAATAATGTATTTACACAAAACATCTTAGAGTTGAGCTTGTTCGTGGGACCAAATCAACGTAGTAAAAGCCTCAAAACAACACGCATAAGTATTCCGCTCAAATAAGGTTGAACCTAATTCCGAGCGTCCTGTACTGAAGGATCATAATTCAAGAATATCGCATCGTCGAAATTTTCTCCAAGATATGGAATTAAGATCAATGGTCGTTCGCCTCTGACGGGAGGTCCATTCACCCATCCACCTTGCTTTCGGTACTTCTCGTCCAGGCTATCAATGAGAATCACTTCCAGATCCTCATTATACTCCCACTGCACATCACGTGGAAGCTGTTCCTCTACAAGTTCGATTTTATAATAGAGGTTCTTCTCGGCCACCATGAAAATCTCGGAGCCTTCATCCAGGGCAACCCAAATTCTTTTTGGTAGATTCTTATCCAGCCCTATTTTCATCAAAAGCTCTTGCGCCTGCTTTTGTTCAAGGCAGGTATCGGTGAAGATCTGACTAGATATTCCACCGAGGCAGACCGGTGTACACGTATTAAGGAAATTGTAAATCTTGAAAATTTGACCGGGCTGAGAGAGGTATAGAAGGTGATCGTGGATGTGCGTGTCTCCTGATGGTGTCATTTCCGAAGTTTTTTTAACTTTAGCGGTTAAAACTGATATTTTTGGCAGGAGTTTCAATGAGCTATGGGAAAGTGTGCGATATTGGCGGGCAGGAAAATGGTTTTCGTTTTCTTTGGAGACAGCATGAGGCGGGGGGTGTACCATATTTAAGAAGGATTCCACGTGACCTTGAGTAGCTGGTACGCGGTAAGGCCACATCAGCTGGCCATGGCCGGGAATTAAGTGCGCCCCGGCGGGGCGTATCGATTTGTCAGGTAAACTACGTTTCCATTCCATTGCGAGAGCATGATCTACAAACTAGCTAGGTTTGGACTAGGCTGTTTCATCACATCCTTGGCATTAGGGTTCGAGAGAGTTATTCTGGGTAACATGGAAGCCAATTTCGATTTTAGCTGTAAGCGACCAGCACAGCCTTCGTCCTGTACGAGGTAGATGAAGTCGAAGGCAGCAAAGGAAAATGCAAGACAGCGTAGGCGGAAATCAAGCCAGATCGCCCAATCTCCTCCACCTATTCTAGGCCCTTTACTAGAACATTCTACAGAGCTATCTACAGAGCTATACGGTAATTTACAAAATCTCATAAGACGATGAAACCCAATTACGTTCCACAGCACGATACAGGAAAACAGGGTTTGTTTGGAAGTAACCGAATACGGACTCTCGTTGTTTCGGGTACGGCCCGAGAAACAAAGTATGTCTGTCCGGGGGTAAACCGTTTTCGAATTCTACTGTATTGCAATGCCTCTTATGTATGCGCGAATGTTATGAACGGTTATTCGTACAAAGCAATAAAAGTAAGCACTAATTACATTTGCGGGTTACCAAGCAGTCGGCTATTTCATGTGTAGGAGCTGCTTGGCCTGTTGAAGGTTCTGTAACTTTTAGAAGACGCCCTTTCATAATGAAGCCACAGGAAAATGTCTTACGCCCAATTAAATCCACTTCCCACCAAAGAAGTTCAAGATACTGTAAAACAGAACACTATTTCTTCCTTTTCAAGAGCAAAGATATTATAATATTACTCTGTATTGTACTGGCCTTGGCGCCCATGCTTGTCAATAAGGATCAAATATGGGAGTTAATATAAAAGTTGAATGATACAGTACTTCTGGAAATCGGTGTCACCACCTACACTCTTGATTGTTTCTCGAACCCTAATGCCAAGACCCACTATACTACAGACACTAGTCAAAAGTATCTTCCCACTCCATTTTTCGGCTACCCCCATCAAATATATATATCTACTTTGTACAGCTCTGCACAACCATATAATACGCTAATTAAGTTCAGTAAAATATATATTACTAATTGATAACCGCACAATTGATTTTTCGCTTAATATTTTGTATAATACCCCTTCGCCTTGCGTACCGCTGCCAAACGTCTCCCCATGCTTAATATTAATCTATCAATCTTCACCTGCGGAATCGCCTCCCAGGCCTTGACTAGGCACTCTTTGAAATAATGCCAATCAGATAGGCTTCTTCCCATTTCAATAAGCTCTGGAAAGAGCCTAAAAAGCATCAATTTTAACCACCGCCATACCGGTTCAATTGGGTTTAAATCAGGTGAGTGTGGAGGCCAATCCTCAACGTGAATCCCGTGCGTTTCGAACCACTCCTGTGTCTCCTTTGCTGTATGAATTCTTGCGTTATCTTGCTAAAAGGTAGTATAGGGGGTATAGAAAGGGACCAGACCTTTTTCGAGGGCTAATATATATGACTTTGCAGTATAACCTCTCCCAGAAGGTGAATCTTTATCCCGCTCCATAATCACTAACGGTGTACGACCTCCAACCCAGATTCCACCCCAAACCATTTGCGAAATATCTTTCACATGGGTCTTAATATTCATTAGATCACGGCGAAAGCCCTCCGGCTGAAAACGGAAGCACCATTGTGGTCCAACATTCGAGGTTCGTTGCACCGAACACTCGTCTGAAAAGATCCACCTTTGAAAGCTTTCGCGCTGCCATTTTTTTGCATATCGAAGACGTTTCTTAGCAAGGGCCCTTCCAATTGGTATCTTCCTTTTTGTCAGATATTTTGAGAGGCCAAATCGCCTAAAGATTCGCCGTATAGTTGAGTTTGATGGGTGTTCGGGTACCGTCGAACTTAGCTGTTTATAGGTCCAAAATGGGTGCCGGCGGGCCTGAAGATAGAGGTAATGGTAAGATCGACGGCTTAGGATTGGGGGACGGCCTTTTCGGGGGAGGGATTCGATAGATTGGTGCTCTTCGAAGCGTTTAAGTGTATTGTAAATAGTCCTACGGCTGCAACTAAAATCATTAGCTAGTTTTGACTGCGAAATCCCATTCTTATGGCCAAATACAATAGCTGACCTTTGTACCGGGCTTAATTCAGCCAATTTCGTAGGCCTAGGGCCTAATTGCATTTGAATTCGACGACTAGGGGAGGTGTAGGAAGAAAAATAAAATGGTGGGTGGTTGTTAGGGTGATAGTAGTGGGGCAAAGTGGGAAGATACTTTTGAACCCCTATGTACATTTAAGAATAACCCCGGAATAGCAATATTCCTATGTACTGATACCTGTACACTAATTTACCACAATTAATACATGACCTCATGTCTCGTCACTGTATGGACACCCAGTGGTAGCTAAAATTTCCATAAAATGTGAACAACAAACACGAGCCAGAAATAGATCTCGAGAATCTGGCAAGATGTCATTTCCCATGTCCATGTGACAATCTGGGGACCTAGGCTACTCGGTACCAGAAAGTACAAACTGCGACCTACAGTACCTCCAGCTTGGTTACTTGCTGACTACTCGTGACCCTCCCTATTCATCACCATTCTCAGCCTGCAGCCTGTCAGGCACAGTTTTATCTTACATGACGCTTCGTGACACCCGTGGACCTTCCTGGCAGCTGACCAAGGAAAATGCAGAAAGTGTTCTACTTCGGAATATCGCCCACAACCAACGAGCGAGGCCAGACTATTCTACAAAGGTAGTTCCCCAGGTATGAACTTCTTGGGCACTACGCTATGTAGGGGCCAAAGGAGAGGAGGGAGAGAGTTGATTCCTAACGGAAGAAGCGAGCTTCCAACTAATCGGGTCGTCGAACCCAGCCACCTGGCGGTGTCAGGGTTCCCGGGCCTAATTACAACCCGGGCCTAATTACAAATTTTTCATTTCCACATTCTTCAACAATTCACTACACCCCCAATTCTTTATATTATGGATTCAGATTCAGAAGATCGTATTACCAATGCCTTATTAGCATACCATGCTAGTACCAAAAAAAACGTTTCAGCCATCGCTAAGCAATTCAACATTTCGCACGGCGTCTTGAGAGGCCGCATCAACGGTCGCCAGCCTCGAAACAAGCGCACCGCGGCCAATAAAGCACTACACACAGAGCAAGAGAAGGCCTTAGTTCTATGGATCGATACCTTAGACCAGGCCTATTCTCCGTCGTCAGCGGCACAAATTCAGCATGCTGCATTGCAAATTATCCGACGTCATGACCCCGCGCGGACACTCGGAAAGAATTGGGCCTACGATTTTATCGCTCGTCTACCACCACGCTTTGAACATCTTAATCAAAAACCAATGGAGAAAGCACGGTTTCAGGCCGCAGATCCTGGTTATGTTGTCACTTGGTACGATCGTCTACAAATTACGCTTAAAAACTACAACATTAGCCCGAGAAATCTATACAATTTCGACGAAACCGGGTTTCGAATTGGCGAAGGGAAGGCTCAAAAGGTTGTTTCAGCCCGGGGCAATTCATATAATAGTACCGGTGGTCAAGCCGAATCGCTTACCGGTATTGAATGTGTCTCAGCTACGGGTTGGGTTATGCCGCCATGGTTTTTAGTGAAGGGACAATTCCATATGGAAAGTTGGTTTATCGACACCAATTTACCAGACAACTACACGATTTGTCCAACCCCAAATGGCTGGACTGATGAAATCATTAGTTTTGCATGGCTCCAGGTATTCGATGAATTTACATCATTGCGTACAGTAGATTTCGAAAACGGCTTCCCCTCGAAACACTCACGATTTGTTTCTCGGCCCGTACCCGGAACCACGCTAATCCATATAGGGCTCACTCAAAATTAACCCCTGTTTAGCTGTATCGTAGTATATAACGTATTGAGATTATGTGTCAAATGAGTCATTGTTAATTACCGTACACACCAATAGAATATTCTGGAGAGGCAATCGCCATGGCAACGGCGATCTGGCGATCTGGTCTTATCCATGCCCACTCGCTTTCTTACCTTTTCAACATAGCTGGTGTCGTCGACATCAAGATACATCACCAAGACCCCATAGAGCACTAACCTTGGTAGGCTAAGCTGGTTCTTATTATGCTTCCTATGGTAATCGTTCCCTATCGCAACTTTCGTTCGTCATTGGGCTTCTTGCGAAAACTGGCATCTCCCACTCATACTGACAGACCTCCAGAGCTTTGATCGTGCATAGATATGAACGGCAGCCCCTACCATGATGGATACACCTCTCAGCCCCAAGAATACGAAACATGGGAACAGGATTCACAATATTCACCCCCTACCCCGGGATACTTCCGAAGTCCATCTGCTACATCTTCCAACTCCAGCAGATAGAGCTGATATAGTGTCGATTTGAATATTTTTTTGCTTGATCTCATCCTGCTGCTCATGCCTCAGACTGAAAGTGCACGACGTCCAATGTCAATGTTCATTGCTCCTGTCTGGTTGAGAACGGTTCAAAATCATTTGCGCCAGGGGCTAGGTGTAGCTGCTGAATGTCTTGGCGCTTGTTAAGTCACGTAAACCGACTAGAATTATTTTTTAATATTCAAAACAAGAAAACGAATGCAACCATATGTACAGGAATGGCTAATGTGACGGATATGAAAGGGCCTGCAACAATGATGGAATCGTCTTAGCGCATCACTTTTTTGATGTTGGTCATTACGGTAATGCTTGAAACGATCAGCAACAAATTGCGGAAGATATCGAGTCAAGGGGTTATTCGTATTCA